CTATATGGCGGCGGTCTGTAAATAATCGAGTCTGGACCAGACAATCCAGTGATCAACAGCATGAGCATCGATCTGCGCAATTGGGAACCGATGACATGTGTCAACCAAGTCAGCGAGCCTGACCACCCGATCCCGTTAGTCGCCTCTTACAACAAGCTTGGGTTACTGAAGATCAATATTCTAACCCGCACCTTCACGGGTCCTGTCTAGAATAGAATATGGTACATATCTACTGTCATAAATACAGGAAGAAACAAACACAGTGATAGATGAATGAGTATACAAAGACATATACTTTACAAGCAAAATATTTTATTCTTTTATCAATATACATGTTGTATTTACAATGCACCACACAAGTCTAGAACATTTTCGTGTCTGAAGTTCATGATAACATAATGCAAACTCAGCAGTAAAATCCCCTGAATCAGCAAAGCTGCCAAATGTTAACCACTTATATCAGATACTGATATGTCATCTTTTGTAATATTCCATCAACATCACCCCTGCTACATAATAAACAGAAAGACACAAAACGGTATGGGAAAGGGAGTGAATTAGTGTTAGCTGATCTAAAGGAACAACCTTTGCTTTTGTTGAAATGTTTAGCACAAGTAGAAGCCTCTGTTGTTATAATGCAAAAAGAATATAGAGTATAAAAAACAATAATATAGACATTGCTTTCAAAGTTGAAGGGACCTACATGAATATTTCGAGCTATCCGATTTTCAACACAACCTAAAATAATGATCGAGTGAAAGAGTATGGTCTGAACCATTTTTGTAATATTGGAGCAATATCACATCAGAGGACACCAGGACAGGTTAACACACATTGAACCCATGTGGAGAATCAAACCCAAGTCTTCGGAGTGACGAGCGAACGCTTTAACCACTACTAGTGTTTCCTCTTGGCATTTTAAGCGCCCGGCCCTTTTTATTTTGCACCCTGCCCTTTTTATTTTGCGCCTGCCCTTCTGACGAAGTTGTTGCAAACTACCTGTCCAGGAAGAACTGAAGAATGTGAGACTGAGAACTTTCAGCCTGTTCTTCAAAAGATTTCTGTACAAAGATTATAATAACTGACATCAACACGTTTGTTTCTATTTAGTTATTTTATGTTGAAGTTAAGTGAAATAACTGTGCTCTGAGCCTTTAAGAATCGTATACATGGATAACTTGATTCTTGGAAATCTGTCATTGCATGCTCCCTTTGGATCCTGGGGAAAACACTGACTATCCCACAACACTGCCCCCCTACACTACCCACTACACTATCCCACAACACTACCCCCCTACACTACCCCTCTACACTACCCCACTACACTACCCCCTCTACACTACCCCCACTACACTGCCCCCTCTACACTACCCCACTACACTGCCCCACTACACTGCCCCTCTACCCCACTACACTACCCCGCTACACTACCCCACTACACTACCCTCTACACTGCCCCACTACACTACCCCCACTACACTACCCCACTACACTACCCCACTACACTAACCCACTACACTACCCCACTACACTACCCCTCTACACTACCCCGCTACACTACCCCACTACACTACCCCGCTAAACTACCCCACTGCTCTGGTGACTAAAGAAGTAATACAACCGTAAGTCAAACACGTCAATGTTTGACACAACACTTTGACTGTGCTCGCGTTCTCAGAAACTGAAACTTGAGAAATCAGCCACAGTATCAGAATCTTGCTAGGACATATTTCTGCATTTTTCAGGGTGTGTATGGGGGACGTCAGTACACAAATGGTCATTCTAAGAAACACAAAAACACAAGACAAGTATGAGAGCTCTGGGAGCTGCAAGATCTGACCATCATGCATCAGGATGATGTTGCACACAGTTTCAACAGCAAAACAAATACAAAGTTTAATGAGTATCAAAATATACTGAATATATAAAGGTGTTTTCTGAAACAAGAAATCTGACACAGATATGAACTTTAGTCCAGTTGAGTTTGACCCTTTTTCACACTATTTCAGACCAATGTGTCCTGTCAATGTGGAAGGAAACTTCACAGTGAGTGAGTTTAGTTTTACACCACACTCAGCACTATTCCAGCTATATGGCAGCAATCTGTAAATATTCGAGCTGACAATTCAGTGATCAACATCATGAGCATCGATCTACGCAATTGGTATACGATGACCTGTCAACCAAGTCAGCAAACCTGACCACCCAATCCCATAAGTCACCTCTTTCAACAAGCATGGGTTACTGAAGATCAATTCTTACCTGGATCTTCATGGGTAAAACTTCACAGTGATAGGATACAGACATTTAGCACTGTGTGAAACCATGAACACAGGTTTGGTCTTAACAAACTGATCACAGCCAGGACCATCCAGGGATGAGAACCTGTCCTCACTGGATCCTGAAAGGGCTAAGGGACACAACTCTGCACATAACATTTCTGAGATTCAGAGCAACTTGTGCATTTCAAATATGTAACAGAACAAAATGATGAACCTCCTGTATTTTCAGCAACCTTTGGATTTATAGATATTTTATAATTCATACTAAGGTGCTTCGGTGTTAATGTTTCCAGTAGGTAGAGACTGAATTCATGTAATAATCTTTAAACTAAACTTCTTTTTCTTTTTAGTATGTGGTATAGTTGTTAATGAGAGGCACTGAAAATGTACTACTACTATATAAGTAAACATTAAATTGACATCTAATTGAAACTAAAACAAGCCCCTGAAAATATAATTCAAATTAACTAACTATTATAACTTCACACTTCTCAATGAAGACAAAAAGAGCCAGCAGGGAGCCAAATTTTATGTTCAATGTTGTCCTTTAAACTTGAATAATGCATAAAGTTGACTTATTGCTGAAATGCATCACCATGCATAGTTCTTCAGCAAGGTGTGGTCACCAAATCTGCTGTTTCAGTCACAGGTGGTTACTGTGATTTCAAACTTCTGACTACTGAGAGAGAGAGGTGGGGTGTGTGTGTGTGTGTGTGTGTGTGTGTGTGTTTGTGATGGGGTCTACAAACGATGATTTACTGATTATGCATCGATTACAAATTGGTTATTGCTCTTCATTACTTGCCATAACTCTCAACAAAATGTGTGATATATTTCACTTGATCTTATTGGTTATTTGATTTCCAAAATATCGTTCCACCATGTTTCTAGTAGTTTCCATCTAAAAAACAAACTGCAACATATAATACGAGATGATTTTATTCAACAATCTTTCTAGATGACAGATGATGTGAACAGCACATGAATCTCAGGGTATAAATATATATATGTTTATAATATATTCAAAAAACATATTATCACACAGTTCGGGAGAGACACAATTTTATGACTATTGATAATAATATTGAGGACTAGATGTTCTATTTACAACCTATCCGACTTTTTGTTAAACCCTAGTAGCTCAGAATTCTTGATATTCATGGCATAAACAATAAAATCGTGAATAAAATATATTCTGCATAACATATATATTTCGGGGATCAAGAATCAAAAACAAATTTCAATCTAAGAACATTAAAATAATCACCATGCATTTTCTAAAGTAATCTAGTTTCACTTGATGAAACTTGGGATGCTAGCTAACTTCATCATTGGTACCACCTGTAAGTCGCTGGACAAAAGGAATTATTTGTTGCCCAGTTTGCCAAAGGTACAAATGACATGGTCCAGCGAACAGATCACATGTAGCACTAGAGAAATGAGGCTGCACAAAAATTAGGAAGGGAGAAATTTCACGAAAAAAATGAAAAAATGAATGGCCCTAAGCGGCTTCCATATGAATGTCTGAATGTCTACTTAAGTATAATGTTCAACATACACATATAGTTACCCAAAACATCACATGAAGCATGGAAATACGAAAATGGTGGAGCCTACTGAAGCCTACAGGGAATAATGCCTACAGTCTTAAATAAACAATTTTACGCACCAGTGGTTTCAAATTGTACTGCCTCTACCCTTTCACTAAAGTGGTAGGTCCCACTTCATTGTGCACTAATGTCTACCTGGAATACAAAACACAAACTTTTAAATGACATTACAAACCATGAAAACATGTCCTGACATTATGTGAATCAATAAACTTTGTTCCTCGTCATCATACGAGCTTCGAAAAGGCATGAGCTGAGATGGTGTCGAAAAAAACATTGATATGTCAGTTCCTATATTGCTTAAAACATTTCCTGAGGTTTCCAATCAACATCTCCATCTCCAACACGCTTCAGATGATACAAGCATCCTGTATTGGAGTGAACTGAATTTAAACCATTGAACTAAATTTTGGTTATGTCATGGTCTGTCAATGTAATGAGGCAGAACACTGAAAGTGATGTATGTCATTAATGTTTATCAGTACGAAGCCCACAAGGAAAGGGTAAGTGCTGACAAACCTGAAACTTAACCAGGGTGAACGAGGATTCGAACCCATGATCACAGGATTCTTGCATTACCAAGGGACATAACTCCATACAGTGTGCATCCGAGCTTGTATAACATGGCTCCCTGTGCTCCAGATTCATCAGATAACAGACCTGACGATCGAGTTTAAATGATGCGGATTCAAACCCATGATCACAGGATTCTTGCTTTACTAAGGGACATAACTCCATACAGTGTGCTTCCGAGCTTGTATTACATGGCTCCCTGTGCTCCAGATTCATCAGATAACAGGCCTGACGTTCGAGTTTAAATGATGCGATTCAAACCCATGATCACAGGATTCTTGCATTACCAAGGGACATAACTCCATACAGTGTGCATCCGAGCTTGTATAACATGGCTCCGATTGCTCCAGATTCATCAGATAACAGGCCTGACGTTCGACTTTATATGATGCGATTCACACCCATGATCACAGGATTCTTGCATTACTAAGGGACATAACTCCATACAGTGTGCTTCCGCGCTTGTATAACATGGCTCCCTGTGCTACAGATTCATCAAACATCAAACCAGTTTGAGTTACAAGTTTGAGTTTAAATGACGTCTGGCTATTTTATACTTCATACCCTGACAGATCCAAATTGGAATAATTCAAAAGTAAGTTATGCAGGCAAATACAGAAACAAAAAACATAATATTTTCCACAAATTCAACAACAGACGAAGACGTCTGCTGAGTTCAGAGTTTTGATCAACGTCTGTACGAAGCAGCTGTAGATTCACCCATTACATGAGATCCTATTTAGGTTCTTTTTGTTTATGTCATTGTTCATGTGTTTGTACATTTTCCTTCAGCGTCTTTTCTGTCATGGCAGTAAATCTCACTCACAGAAAGTCATAAGCATTCCTCAAACTCGTTACCATGACAACCTACTCCTCAATTGAAATGGAGAGCCCTGATTGGTCCACACAAGCTTCATACACGACAACATCTTCCAGACCCTGTGGAAACAGAATTTCAGAGTGAGAGAGTTTGGGTTAACGTGACATCATAAAGGTGATGCTGGGCATAGACAACACAGAACCAGTCTGTCAAGAAGGCTTCCTACCCACATGTACTCATTAATTCCTCTACTTGTTTGTTCAGGGTGGGGTAAATCCGACTGGCATTAGGACATGTCTTGAAACAAATTTGATAGATTTTGAGGAGAACCTGGCATGTTAAGCTTCATTTTATAAAAGGTGTGACGTTAAAAAACAAACAAAAGTGAACATTTTTAAGTGTTGTTGTCTTGTTGAAAGAGAGTGAACTAGCACAGCATCCCTATGTGGAGTTGAGTAGTATTGTTGGGACTCATGTATTTAAGTGAACTTAAGATCATTTCATCGTCTATTGAAAGACTGACTGACTGAGTTTGGTTTTACGCCGCTTTTAGCAATATTCCAGCAATATCACGGCAGGGGGCACCAGAAATGGGCTTCACTAATTGTACCCATGTGGGGATTCAAACCCGGGTCTTCGGCATGACGAGCCAACGCTTTAACCACTAGACTACCCCACCACCCCCCTCTATTGAAAGAATTGAAGACTGCAATAAAGATTAACCTCTTCCCATTCAGTGTTATTTAGTCTAGTTGTAGATTTATATGTATGAAAATGTACATAATATTACTAATGATGATGATTATGATGATGATGAAAGTGATGGTTGTGGTGATTATGATGATAGTGGTGATGGTAATGATTGAGATGATGATGATGATGATGATGATGATGAAAGTGATGGTTGTGGTGATTATGATGATAGTGGTGATGGTAATGATTGAGATGATGATGATGATGATGATGATGATGATGAAAGTGATGGTTGTGGTGATTATGATGATAGTGGTGGTGGTAATGATTGAGATGATGATGACGATGATGATGATGATGATGATGATGAAAGTGATGGTTGTGGTGATTATGATGATAGTGGTGATGGTAATGATTGAGATGATGATGATGATGATGATATTACCTGTACGCTAGAGAGCAGCTTCTCCACCTCTGCCCTTGAGCTCGCTTCCTTCATGATACCCCACAAGAACCCCCCTCCCCCGGCCCCTGCCATACACAGGCCTAGACTGTGGGGGCGCAGAACCTCCATTATCTTCTGAATCACAAGAGTCTCGCAGCCCGGTGCCATCATCTTCTTCATTTTCCAGTACTCATTGGCGCACTCACCAAGCATCTCAAAATCACCTATTATAAAGGGAGATAATCCATATTTTTTAAAATGAAGAATTTGCCAGCTGAAGAAAAGGTGCATTTCAGGAAAATAATGTGTGGAACAGAGATGTGTATGCAGATACAGGCATTGGAGAATAAGAATAATGCTTGACATGTATCTCAATTACCATCAGACAAAACGGAAAGAAGAATAACCTTTGACATGTATCTCAATTACCATCAGACAAAACGGAAAGAAGAATAACGCTTGACATATATCTCAATGACCATCAGACAAAACGGAAAGAAGAATAACGTTTGACATGTATCTCAATTACCATCAGACAAAACGGAAAGAAGAATAACGTTTGACATGTATCTCAATTACCATCAGACAAAACGGAAAGAAGAATAACATTTGACATGTATCTCAATTACCATCAGACAAAATGGAAAGAAGAATAACGTTTGACATATATCTCAATTACCATCAGACAAAACGGAAAGATCTCAATTACCATCAGACAAAACGGAAAGAAGTATAACATTTGACATGTATCTAAATTACCATCAGACAAAACGGAAAGATCTCAATTACCATCAGACAAAACGGAAAGAAGAATAACATTTGACATGTATCTCAATTACCATCAGACAAAATGGAAAGAAGAATAACGTTTGACATGCATCTCAATTACCATCAGACAAAACGGAAAGATCTCAATTACCATCAGACAAAACGGAAAGAAGAATAACATTTGACATGTATCTAAATTACCATCAGACAAAACGGAAAGATCTCAATTACCATCAGACAAAACGGAAAGAAGAATAACGTTTGACATGTATCTCAATTACCATCAGACAAAACGGAAAGAAGAATAACATTTGACATGTATCTAAATTACCATCAGACAAAACGGAAAGATCTCAATTACCATCAGACAAAACGGAAAGAAGAATAACGTTTGACATATATCTCAATTACCATCAGACAAAATGGAAAGAAGAATAACATTTGACATGTATCTCAATTACCATCAGACAAAATGGAAAGAAGAATAACGTTTGACATGCATCTCAATTACCATCAGACAAAACGGAAAGATCTCAATTACCATCAGACAAAACTGAAAGAAGAATAACATTTGACATGCATCTCAATTACCATCAGACAAAATGGAAAGAAGAATAACGTTTGACATGCATCTCAATTACCATCAGACAAAACGGAAAGATCTCAATTACCATCAGACAAAACGGAAAGAAGAATAACATTTGACATGTATCTAAATTACCATCAGACAAAACGGAAAGATCTCAATTACCATCAGACAAAACGGAAAGAAGAATAACATTTGACATGCATCTCAATTACCATCAGACAAAATGGAAAGAAGAATAACGTTTGACATGCATCTCAATTACCATCAGACAAAACGGAAAGATCTCAATTACCATCAGACAAAACGGAAAGAAGAATAACATTTGACATGTATCTAAATTACCATCAGACAAAACGGAAAGATCTCAATTACCATCAGACAAAACGGAAAGAAGAATAACGTTTGACATGCATCTCAATTACCATCAGACAAAATGGAAAGAAGAATAACATTTGACATGTATCTCAATTACCATCAGACAAAACGGAAAGAAGAATAACGTTTGACATGCATCTCAATTACCATCAGATGAAACGGAAAGATCTCAATTACCATCAGACAAAACGGAAAGAAGAATAACATTTGACATGTATCTAAATTACCATCAGAGAAGGCTTCGGCCACTTCCCGCGCTTTTATTACGAGTAAATCCTCTGTTAGCACTATGTGAGGGTTGCGGGCATACCAGTTTCTGATGACGTCCTGTAAACAAAGCATTGTCATATCACATCATACCAATGCACACTACATCAACCGCAGACCAATGCAACAACCAAACAACACAGTAAACCAAAAGTCACTGTGTTCTTTAATCTGATTGGTTGAAAAACATGATCCAATGGTATTTGATTCCCAGAAATTCGCCGCGTATTAATACGTACAAACATCGCTCACACCATTGTATTGTTACGTCGTCAGCTGTGATGACGTCATTCAAATCATATTGTGACGTAAAGTCTGACGGTCATCACAAATGAGCAGTTCAAGATGCTACCATGGGAGACAGCCGAAACGGCCGGCTGATGACATTTCACTGCTGTACCCGTACTCGATGTAAATGAGTGCAGACACAAAAACGTGCGTGGACCTTTTGGTTTACTTTTGTGTTTACAATGTCAATAAACATCATCTGTGGGCCAATTTCCGGTCGTTATTGAGTATTTGAAGCATGGGAATACGGCTGACGCCGTCGGTTCCAAATGAATTCCTGTGCTTCAAATACTCAAAAACACCCGGAAATTGGCCAACACAGATGTTTAACTCCTAATTAGATACAATATTGCCGATGTGACTTACCTCACTAGGCCAAGTTCACTGACAGGCACAGAACTAGAGGCCACTTAATGACCACACATTCGCACATGTATCTTGTAGGGACACGGATCTACAGTAAGTATTGTCAGAGCTCACCCACCGAATATTTCAGTTGTTCGTTGCATGTATACACATGTAAAAAAATATTGCAACATCTTGGCCAACAGTCTTGAATGAAAGAAATACTGTAAATCACGAAATGTTTGTGAGCATGATATTTTTGCGAAAATTGCTAATGACTTGATCTCGCAAAAATGTCATTATGCAATTTATTCACCAGTTCATATAATCAACAACATATCTAGACAATACATCACTTAAGCAATGACAACAACTTGTGGAAAGACTAATTACTAGCAATACTAGTACTCACAAGGGACACCATTCTCTTCCCACAGAGGTTACTCCTGTCATATCTTCCTACGTAACCTCTGTTCTAATACGGCCCTTTCATGGTGTGAGCGTTCAAGACTTTAGTTGTGCAATCAGCGATGTTGTTTCAAAAGTGATCATTCGCAAGGCTTCGGTAATTTCTGTATGCTTCGAGAAAACTAAACTTCTTCCCCTGCGCGTTGCGCAAACGTTTCTTCTAGACAGAACTCAGTCATGTAATGGCGGATCAGTGGCGTCTCCATCGCCCTCGTTGACAACGGACAAGCTAGCCATTAAACGTCTTGTGTGTAACATCAACACAAGTCCCCGGCAGATGGGGGATATTTGTGGCCCCACATTTGCTTGTGTTAGTCAAGTTGAATCTAAGTCGATGTAACATGTGTTCTGATTGGATAGAAAGAAGGGAGATAATTCGTGTTGCGATCTTTTGCCGCTAGGGGATTTTACGAGAACCGGGAAATATGGCCGTATTAGAACAGAGGTTCGTAGGAAGATATGACAAGTAACCTCTGTGGGAAGAGAATGAAGGGACACTTGAACAACAGTTACTCAATCAGTGCGTCTTTATAGTCCAGACAGGCGCCAACCACTCAACACACATTCTGTTTGTTTAAAGACCGTTTGATAGGCTGACACCATCCAACAGGTGTGGCTAGGTTTCATCACACCTCTCCGGAGATCAACAGCTTTGGTGATGTCATTGTCAACAATTTAATAGAGGCATTCTAATTAATATAAACCCTTTGAACTGATTTAAGCTTATCTGGCCTGTGCAGTGTGTGTTGTTTTTAGGAAAACATCACTGACTGCATACACACGGAAGTACTCTACAGAGCTCAGTTCAAGATTAGCGGCAACCTTTAATATGGGATTGGATTTACATTAGGTAGAACTTTCAGTTGCAATCTAGTTTTGACACGTAGGCAAGTTGCAAAAATATCTTGACGCAAAAATTTCATGATTTACAGTAAACTTCATCTGTCCAGTGGACCATTCCCCATAACCGCATATACCAGCATCTTGACACCAAGCTAGTCATGCTGCTATGTGTTCTCTGGATAACAATGGATAACAGTGGATATCTAACAGGTCATCTGGCTCTGTACACAGCTGATCTGTTGGACAACAGACTATGTTGAAGCTATGTTGTTGACACATGACACGATCAGATGAATTCTTATGATTTTGAGAAGAACTGGAGAGTCTACTCTTTCCAGTGTGTCACTCACTTACACACTCACTCACTCATACTTATGGCAGGTTCCTGGTAAAGTCTGTTTTTTCCAGTGTCTCACTCACTCACTCACACACTCATACTTGAAGCAGGTTCCTGGATAAGTCTGGTTTTTCCAGTGTCTCACTCACTCACTCACTCATACTTGAAGCAGGTTCCTGGTAAGGTCTGTTTTTTCCAGTGTCTCACTTACTCACTCACTCACACACTCATACTTGAAGCAGGTTCCTGGATAAGTCTGGTTTTTCCAGTGTCTCACTCACTCACTCACTGGTACATGAGGCAGGTTACTGGTAAGGTCGCTTGTCATTGCGAAGACCCGGGTTCCGATTCAGCACATTCTCCCCACGTGATATTGCTGTACAATTGCTAAAAGCAGTGTAAAACTAAACTCACTCCTGCTAAGGTCTGGTCTTTCCACTCACTCACTCTCTCACTCACTCACTCACTCTCTCACTCACTCATACCTGGAGCAGGTTCCTGGCGAGTCTGGTCTTTCCGGTGTAGATGAGGATGAGTCTCTCATTGAACTTCTGGATGTTTCTCTCCGACACCTCCAGGTCCTTCACTTCCACCCTCAGGGGTAGCTGTGCCTCTGACACTGCCAGCCTCACCCCGCCAAACAGCCCCCCAACCTGGTCCTGCCACCCTCCCCCTGTCGTCAGTAGTTGCTCCAGATACAGCACCTGTAGTGAACAATAGGTCATTGTAGATAAAGCACATGTAGTGAACAATAGGTCAATGTAGATAGAGCACTTGTAGTGAACAATAGGTCTTGTAGATAGAGCACTTGTAGTGAACAATAGGTCTTGTAGATAGAGCACCTGTAGTGAACAATAGGTCTTGTAGATAGAGCACCTGTAGTGAACAATAGGTCAATTTAGATAGAGCACTTGTAGTGAACAATAGGTCTTGTAGATAGAGCACCTGTAGTGAACAATAGGTCATTGTAGATAAAGCACCTGTAGTGAGCAATAGGTCTTGTAGATAGAGCACCTGCAGTACTGTTTACTATATATGTGAGTGGTGTTTAATCCCACCTTGACGCAGTATTCCAGTTCTATAAGCCCAAAGTGATGCAGGTCATAGACCTTTACCACCTTTTTGAAACTGCAAAGCATGGGTACCCGGGTATGGCATGAAAAACGAATTCAGACCAAAGTGGGATTAGAACCCATGATAACATGATCAGTGGAGGTGAGGTGAGGTGAAATTGGGTTTAACGTCGTGCTTGAGAATACCTCGCTCATATGACGACGTGCATTCGTGTGTATGTGTGGCTGCTTGTACTAGCCCAGACTGAAGCTGGTTTTTTTATAGTGCTAGCCCACTGAGATACCAAGCCGCAGTGAAGCATGAATATCCCACTCAGACACATTATACTGACTCCGAGCCGACCAGTCCCAATTGCGCAGCTCATGCTGTCGATCACTGGATTGTCTGGTCCAGACTCGATTATTTACAGACCGCCGCCATATAACTGAAATATTGCTGAGTGTGGCGTAAAACTAAACTCACTCACTCACTTTGTAGCAGCTTATCACCATAGTAACCAATTCCATCTGGAATCATCATGGGAATTAAACATATCTACATCAACATCCAGTCTAGATCTGACTTACGGCATGTACCAGTCCTTCAGGCTCACATGACTTGCCCCCTGCAGTGAGCACCGCCCCCATCACGGCCCCCGCCAAGATGCTGCTGGTGCCGAGCCCTGGGGGAGAAATAGTCCTTATTTAACCACAACATCTTTCCGTCCAGCCTCTGTATCTCCATGGATCACATGTAAACCTTTACTAATCTGTCCATCCATTTTTGTGGTCGTAAATATCGCCAATGTTTTGCCCTTTATTTTCAACAACAGTAACCAACTAATCAAACATCGACATAAAGGAAAGGGTAAGGGAGGTAACTGGTATTACTTAGAAACTGAGGCCAGTAGCAGTTAGAGGTATAATTATTAACCTATCCTTTCCATCAATAAGATTTTTTTAGCTTTCTTCTTGTCAATCGAGAATGTATATTCAAATATTTCAGTATATTCAGATTTTGCTTTATTGTAACACATACACAATCACATTCAATCTAAAATCAAAATATTATTACTATATATGATCATCATATATTTTCACACAGCTGATGCGGGCGGTGGGGTAGTGGTTAAAGCATTAGCTCATCATGCCGAAGATCCGGGTTCTATTCCACACATGGGTTCTGTGTGTGAGGCCTGTTTCTGGTGTCCCCCGCTGTGAAATTGCTGGATTATTGCTAAAAGTGGCATAAAACTACACTCACTATAGTCTGACTTCATTTGAGACCGATGAATTGCTCACTAACACAAAATCTAATAATTACAACAAAACCAAAGTTTGCACAGTCACATGAAACCGACAGACCAACTCTGATGATTTGGCTCATAATTTCGGACCCCCGAATAAAAAAGTTGTTTAACAAACGATCATTATTTTGATGTCACTTTTTGCTATTTCTTATGAGGGAGGACCACCTGCTGGTAGAACAGCCAGGTGTGCGACTTGTACATGTGAAATTGAAATTTCACTGCACGCGCTTGTTGATTACCTGGCCGTTGAGCACTTCATCGGTCTCAAATGAAGTCAAACGGACTATAACTCAAACAACTGACCAGAGCCCGTGGGAAGATTTGACCAGGACTGCATCTCAAAGCCGCCTCCATATTTGTCCATTAGTTGTTTGGCCAAGGACGAGCTGGAAGTCAGGTCAATGATGTCTGCACACACAAACGAGGCCTTTAACAAGGCACCTGCAACAACAGAGGGGAACAGAAGGTATTAATAATACAATACACATACAATTATATTTGGATCCTGTGTAAACCACGGCTGAGTCCTGAATATAGACACCATAAAGTTTACCCAAAACAATGTTTTAACCCAGAAGAGGCTTACTTGGTTATAATTAGTTTTCCTTCCATTAACATCTGCACCGTTTCCTGCCGCCATCTTTCTGTTGTCTCATATTGGTACAACACGTATGTTTGTCCTTTGACAATAAGCAGCAAAGATATTGTCACTTTTTTATTTCTCACTCTGGCGATACTTTAACTTGAGTACACAAAGAATCAAAACTGTAAATAATCGACTCTGGATCAGACAATCCAGTGATCAACATCATGAGCATCGATCAACACAAGTGGGATACGATGACATGTGTCAACCAAGTCAGCGAGCCTGACCACACGATCATGTTAGTCGCCTCTTATGACAAGCATGGGTTACTGAAGGTCAATTTTAACCCGGATGTTCATGGGTTGTCTCACCTGGAGTATGGGGCTGGTAGTAGTCTTCAAGGTCACACAGCTCCTTGCACACCACATACTGGCTCTCCGCAGTGTCGTTGCATATCTCCAGCTTGATCACAGGGCTATGGCAAATTTCAGATTTGTAGGTGAGTAAGTGACTGTGTAAATGAATATCGATGGCTACATCTCTTCAAAGGCTAACATTCATAGGAAAGTACTTCTTTCTTAATTCTTAATTCAACTCACAATAATATCTGACACAACCTAATGCACTTCACTCAAAATTGATGCTAACACCAAAGAGTTTGCGTATATTGTTAGAGTAAGTTACCTGTAGATTTAACAGTGTCACATTTAACGTATTATTTGCGTATATTGTTAGAGTAAGTTACCTGTAGATTTAACAGTGTCACATTTAACGTATTATTTGTGTATATTGTTAGAGTAAGTTACCTGTAGATTTAACAGTGTCACATTTAACGTATTATTTGCGTATATTGTTAGAGTAAGTTACCTGTAGATTTAACTGTGTCACATTTAACGTATTATTTGCGTATTATGTCAGAGTAAGTTACCTGTAGATTTAACAGTGTCACATTTAACGTATTATTTGCGTATATTGTTAGAGTAAGTTACCTGTAGATTTAACAGTGTCACATTTAACGTATTATTTGCGTATGTTGTTAGAGTAAGTTACCTGTAGATTTAACTGTGTCACATTTAACGATTATTATTTAGTGATATTGTTAGAGTAAGTTACCTGTAGATTTAACTGTGTCACGTTTAGCGATTTGAGTTAGAGTAGGTTACCTGTATATTGTTAGAGTAAGTTACCTGTAGATTTAACAGTGTCACATTTAACGTATTATTTGCATATATTGTTAGAGTAAGTTACCTGTAGATTTAACTGTGTCACATTTAACGTATTATTTGCGTATATTGTTAGAGTAAGTTACCTGTAGATTTAACAGTGTCACATTTAACGTATTATTTGCGTATATTGTTAGAGGAACTTACCCGTAGATTTAACTGTGTCACATTTAACGTATTATTTGCGTATATTGTTAGAGTAACTTACCTGTACATTTAACAGTGTCACATTTAACGTATTATTTGCGTATATTGTTAGAGTAAGTTACCTGTATGTTTAACTGTGTCACATTTAACACTTGAAACCTCATGCTGTGCATTCAGGCATTCAGGACCAAACAGTGAGGCTACTTCCTATGATAACCTAACTCTACTATGACAACAGAATGGTTATCATAATTCATATCAGTTTTTGAACCATACTCACTCAGGTATTCTTCGTGCCTTTACACCAATAGGCCTCTGAAAAGATATTAAATCAGTTTGAAGAATATTGATGGGAAGGACTTGTTGTGGCTAAATTCCAAGGTAGTACAAGTTATGCCCCTTACTTTTAGGTCAAAATGTGACTGGTGAAATGTTAATGAAAGTTAAGGACAAAAACCACAGGAACAGTTTCAGGGGTTATGTTTGTTTGTTTGTTTGTTTGATGCAACGCCACACTCAGCAATCTTCCAGCTATATGGCGGCAGTCTGTAAACAATCAAGTCTGGACCAGACATTCCAGTGATCAACATCATCAGTATCTCTCAACCCAATTGGGATATGATGACATGTCAACCAAGTCAGCAAGCATGACCACTTGCCTCTTATGACAAGCAATTCTAACCCGGATCTTCATGGATTCCTGCATTCTCTTCCCACAGAGGTTACTTGTCATATCTTCCTACGAACCTCTGTTCTAATACGGCCATATTTCCTGGTTCTCGTGAAATCCACTAGCGGCAAAAGATCGCAACACGAATTATCTCCCTTCTTTCTATCCAATCAAAACACGTGTTACATCAACTTAGATTCAACTTGACAAACACAAGCAAATGTGGGGCCACAAATATCCCCCATATGCCGGGGACTTGTGTTGATGTTACACACAAGACGTTTAATGGCTAGCTTGTCCGTTGTCAACGAGGGCGATGGAGACGCCACTGATCCGCCATAACATGACTGAGTTGTGTCTAGAAGAAACGTTGGCGCATCGCACAGGGTAAGAGGTTTAGTTTTCTCGAAGCATACGGAAATTACCGAGGCCTTGCGAATGATCCCTTTTGAAACAACGTCGCTGATTGCACAACTAAATGTGATTGCAACCAATCACGAATCCTGAACACTCGCACCATGAAAGGGCCGTATTAGAACAGAGGTTCGTCGGAAGATATGACAAGTAACCTCTGTGGAAGAGAATGGGATTCCTGTGGTTAGTAAGGGTTTAATAGTTTTAAGTCTAACAATGCTTTAAACACTGTTTGATCAATGAAACATTCCAGTTTGATATTGGAGGAAGAAATGAAGTTATGCCCTTCTTGTACATTTACCATCTTGGTCAAACCCATGTTGCCAAAACAAGAACAAAAGTCTGGAAGAATCTGGGATTAAAACACAAGAACACAAGATCCTGGTACATGGAAGGGACATAACCACCACTACTGTGGTGCCTCAGACCCTATTCAGGAGAAAACGATGATGATGATGATGATGAACCACCAGGCTACCTGATGATGATGATGATGATGATGATGATTCAAAGATGGATACAGCAGCATGAATCTACCTTCCCGTTAATAAGCAGCCCAACTGTTGTGACAGCTCCCCCGTGTTCGTATGTGATGGGAGGTGTATCGGACCACCCCCCTGTGATGTCAATACGGGCGGGGCACTCTGCCGTCACCCACTTGTTGATACGTGGCAATGTTCCTTCTTGGGGCTTGAAATACTGAAACATAAGTGTAATAATTACAGCAGGTATAAATTAGAAGATAAATATACATTCAATACACTGAAGTTGCATGCTGTCAGCCTAATATTCATCAAATTGAATATATGAAAACATTTTATTACTTAGGACTGACTGAGTGAGTGAGTTAAGATTTATAGTCACATAGCATTGGTGGAGTCAGGGGTTGGGGGTGGGTGGGGTGGCTGTGGGGTCTTCAGGGGGTTTCAGGAACCGAAAATGACTAAAGACCACATTGAAGTTTATGTTTCACATTGGCGGAGCTGTGGGGTTGTTAAGGGGGTTTGAACCCCCTTTTGAAAATTCCTGGATCCACCTATGTCATAGGCAACATTTCAGCCATCGTAATTTAAAATCACAAACACACCACGAAATATACTACGTATATATATGATAAGTTCCAATTTACTTTGAATGTTTTGAGACTTATGTACCCCAACAGGAGGATAATAATTTCACAATACTTCAAATCCCTGTGAGGATGCAGCCACTAACAATCTCAGTTGCTATTTTAACCTACCAATTATATAATATACATCTATCTACAAAACATATCAATCAAAATTTATCAAGAAGTTCTATTTCTTTTTTAAAAAAAATCAATAATTAAATAAAAAATAACATTACTAAAAAGATCCTTCATTGTTTTGACACTGAAATATTTATCCCTTGTGGTGGAAAAATCAATACAGTCAAGCAGGACATGCTTGACCGTGATTCTTTCATTACAAGGGATACAAAACAGAAGATGAAACAGATTACAAACACAGAAGTTTACAAGTTGAAAGTATCATATGTTTTTTTCTATTCAAAGAGGAACACAATGTGTGACAGCTCAAATATAACAGCTTTTCATATGCAATTAAATTTTTATTAAATTGTGTGGAAATTACATTGCATGCAACCTGTAGTCATAGTCGATTTATCAATGAGACTACCCATTGCCTGCCATCACAATCTCAGTGAACCTACCACCTTCGCCGTCATCACTGCCTGTCTGATGAGTATCTGTGCTGCTCCCTCATAATGTCGCGCTGCCCTTACTAGCAGGTCAGGACGACCCAGCCAGCGCTCTCTCTCCTTGGCCAGAGCAGCCACACCCACTGAGAGATCCAAGGACTTGGTCAGAGAAAATGTCAGAATAGTCATATTTCTTAAACTACTACATTCTAACAATGTTACATCATTAGAGAAATGACTATAAATCTAAGAAATATTACACAGTGTTTAGTTGTTAATTTATTGACTAGCCGCACGAATACTTTCAAATATTTTTAAGTGCGTAGTGTTTGATAAAATTATTTATCCAGACAAATATATTCGGTTGGTTGGTTTGTTGTTTAACGCCACACTCAGCAATATTCCAGCTATATGGCTGCGGTTTGTAAATAATTGAGTCTGCACAAGACAATCCAGTGATCAACAGCATGAGCATCAATCTATGCAATTGGCATATCATGGCATGTGTCAACCAAGTCAGTGAGCCTGACCACCGGATCGCGTAAGTCGCCTCTTACAACAAGCATGGGTTACTGAATGCCCTCATGTCTCATACACAGGCCCTCGTGTGTTTGTGAGGATTATAGATTTAGAAAGAAAAAACAGAAAAAGTTTGAGATGACCCCCTACTCGAAACGCTTCACAGTACAATACATTATGACAAGGCCGGACACTTCGGTGTACTCCACCCGCCTGCTTTGCCGATTGCTACGCTACCATCGCATGCAATCAATTAAAACTTAATGTAAACATAATCATAGATGATTGGCCTATCGAGCACCACTCATGACACCTACCAGTTCTTTATTGTTATTTCTGCAAGTCGATTGAAACCAGAATTTGACCCTCAACTAAACAATCTTGTCACAAATGGATGACAATATGTCCGCACAAAACGGGGATGTGGTCAAAGCAAGTCCTCTGGTTGGTTAATGCTGGTTAAGGAGACTTTTACAAGTGATGCTTTCTTATGAGAAGCCATTGCTGGAAAACAATTCTTACATTTCCAAATCAAACCGTCGATGAAAGCAAAAATTCCTGCAAATTTATAAAGAATAATCATCCATGATTATGTTTACATTAAGTTTTAATGGATTGTATGCGATGGTAGCGTAGCGATCAGCAAAGCAGGCGGGTGGGGTACACCGAAGTGTCCGGCCTTGTCATGATGTATTGTACTGTAAACAGTGTGCAAAATAGTTTTCACATTTTGCTAGCCAGTCGAGCTAGCTATTCTTGAAAGTTACTAGCTCATAAAATAATTCACTAGCCCGAAATCTGAATGTAGAAACTAAACAAAAGATTACAAAAAAAAGATGCGAAAAAGATACTGTCGGCATGGCACGGGTTTCATTATTAAGCTGCTAATATGATGAATATTTCCATCAGGCCATAATCTTGCATGATTTATAAGTTTATAGCTTATCAAGTTGGAGAGAGCGATAGATTTACAAAATTCACTAGCCAATCGGGCCAGTGACTGCGGAGATTCTCTGGCCCGACTGGATTTTTATTAGCCATGGGCTAGCGGGCCAGTGGTTATTTTGCACACTGACTGTAAAGCATTTCGAGTCGGGGGTCACCTCAAAAACAAATTAAACCTTAATCCTCGCATAGACACGAGGGCCTGTGGTTTTACATGGATATGTATCTTAGATGCAGTATGCTGACTCTGAGCTAACAGTCCTGGTAATATTCCCATAATGCACAGCACCAGGCAGGGTACCAACAAGTACCATCTTCAAACCAGGACTCCTTGCAGGTGCTCTGTCTACTAGACTACTTGTCAGTGCCTACCTCGAGATAACCAAAAGCCTTGGCCCAGGACTTGTTGGCTGCAGGGCCGCTACGCAGTCCACCCTTATTTTCGGCCATGCAGCCAAGGACGTCTGCGATGTTGGCCAATGTCCGAGCAGCGATGCCTGGGGATTTTGTGCTGCTGGCCACTGAAACCAAACAAAGCTGACAGCTTAAAATTCTATTCTGAGAATGTCTAATGATATGTAAAATAAAAACTTAAGGACAGACTGTCATACAAATATACTACTCACACTTTGCTAGGGATCACAAAAATTCACAAAAACATAGATTTATAATTTGAAATTGTATCCATTTAAAACTAGATAAATAATGACATGGTAACCCCCTCTTTAGGCAAACAGCCACTTTAATCTAACCATATGCACTTGATACATGAGTAACCATGAAAATGGTTTTCATGGCACCAATCAACCATTTTGCAAATCATGGAATGAGTCATTGACAATAGCAGGTAAGGGATCCACAAAATGCAGTGAAATACTGAAACCTAGGATCCATCCTTACAATAAGTTTGGATATTTAAACCAAATTAGACCCAACATCATAGTTTTCTGTTGAATCCATGACTTGATCCTTAGCAAAGTGTGAATAGTATATATCAATAGATCGATGCTCATGCTGTTGATCACTGGATTGTCTGGTCCAGACTTGATTATTTGCAGATCGACGCCATATAGTTGGAATATTGCTGAGTGCGGCGTAAAACTCAACTCACTCACTCAGTCACTCCCTCAGTACTCCTACTACTACTTCTTATAATAATAATTTTAATGACAGTGTATGTTGTAGAGTACATGTGCAGTGCACTGAAGCAGAGAAATTATAGTTCGTTGAAGGCACTTTGAAAGAGACACGCATTCAGACTTGCAGAGTCTGATTTGCCGAGATGAGGTATTCCGAAGAATTGGAGCTGAGACAGTTTGAAATTGGGTCATTCAGCCAGAGCAGGTTGTAAGAAATCGCTCTCCCTCTAAAACTTAAAATACCCCCCAAACTCATACCCAAATATGGGATGAGTGAGTTCAAACTGAAGTTTATACCCAAGAGTGAGTGAGTTTGGTTTTACGCCGCTTTTAGCAATATTCCAGCAACATCACGGCTGGGGACACCAGAAATGGGCTACACACAATGTGCCCACGTGGGGAATCAAACCCGGGCCGTCGGCATGACAAGCGAACGCTTTAACCACTAGGCTACCCCACCACCCCTTATACGCAAGAGATCTGTACCTTCATCCAGGGATTTCAGTATCGTCTGAGAGTATCCCTCCACGCTGGCGCTGTTGTAGACGTTGCGGAAACCTTTGTGCTGCTGTTGGGTCAATACGTTGTTTATCTCATGTTTGGCGATATTATAGAAGAGTTCCCTGGAACCCAAAATCCATCATATCAACTTGCAGGCAAACATTCGAGAAAGTCATATATCACATCAAATAAAATATTTAAAAAATGTCACCTTGATAAAAACACAGAACTGACTTGAATGATTATACACATGAAAATAGATAGTGCACATGAATTTGTGAAAACTGAGCAAGCATATCAAGGTAATGGGACTTGGTTTTGCCAGTGTGTCAATGTGCTATTGTTTTGCCAGTGTGTTAATGTGCTATTGTTTTGCCAGTGTGTTAATGTGCTATTGTTTTGCCAGTGTGTCAATGTGCTATTGTGACAGGACAAAAGGATTGTCCACACAAATGTATTGTTTATTTATTGCACTGTGTTATTGTATTGTTTCCGGACAGGTTCTTAGGCGAACAGTTTGCGAAAACATGCCTTAACCACAACATACTTTGTGGAGATGTTTTCAAGCATGCACTTTCGTAAGATGAGAAATTGTAGTCAGTTTGATTCCATGTGTTGATTTGTTAGCACGCTTAGAGACTATAAGTTAGAGTTACCTAATGGGGTGTTAGATTTCGTTATAAATTAGGAACTCGTGAATTTAAGAAATTGTAAATGGCACCAAAGATCGACAAAAACAACTATCAAATTATGATTTAGTGTTTTTTCGCTTTATTCATAACTGGTACAGTTCTTGATGACCAGTAACAATTATATTGCTCCAATCATAGCTCACTCACACAAATCGGCAGGTTTGGTTTCATGGATGACTTACCGTCTTTGGTCAAATATTTTCCTAGTGTCAGAGAAAGCTTGGATTTCTTCCAAAGAGAGGCGCCATGAGGTGCGCCACCTGGTGACAGAGAAGGCATGAGTCACTCACTGAGGTTACCATAGTAACCTACCATAGCAACATAGAATATTTGCCGTAGATTAATACAGATAATACAGGTTCTGTGGACCCGTGAAGATCCGGGGTAGAATTGATCTTCAGTAACCCATGATTGTCGTAAGAGGCGACTAATGGGATCGGGTGGTCAGGCTGGGTTGACACATGTCATCGTATCCCAATTGTGTAGATTAATGCCCATGCTGTTGATCACTCGATTGTCTGGTTCAGACTTGACTATTTATAGACCGCCGCCATATAGCTGGAATATTGATGAGTGCGGCGTAAAACTAAACTCACTCACTCACTATTATTCTGTGCCAGAGTTTTCAGGAAATAATCTTGTGAACAATGTACAGTTAAAAAGTATATCATTCAACTTCAGATAAAATTGTGGCTGAAGTGAACAGGAGTGTCATTAATGTGTTACAGCAGCAATATAAAGGTACATTTTGCGAAAATACAAGGCATGATATGTATAATTCACAGTTTGAATGGTACTTGTGATGGATATCCCCTGTGTGATGTTCTTGGAAAAATTAACTATCTGATACGAACTCTGTGACCAAAGTACCCTTTAAATAACTCAACTGGTTTTGAATAAACTGACTGGACTGACTGACTGACTGAGTTTGGTTTTACGCCGCTTTTAGCAATATTCCAGCAACATCACGGCGGGGGACACCAGAAATGGGCTTCACACATTGTACCCATGCGGGGATTCGATCCCGGGCCAACGCTTTAACCATTAGGCTACCCCACCGCCTCAAACTGACTGGAAGGAAACATAACTGTATCAAGTACTTAGCAGAAACAAAATATTCTGTCATCTTGATACTTGTGGCTTTCTCAGTGTAAATGTTGATATGTCAGATGAGATGTCATAATTTTGTTGCCGATTGACAAGATGTCAAAATATCATTGACAGACAAGATGTCAAAATATCATTGACAGACAAGATGTCAAAATATCATTGACAGACAAGATGTCAAAATATCATTGACAGACAAGATGTCAAAATATGAGGGCTGCAACGAATACACTATGTGGCGAATATGATACGTATCATGAATATTGGGTAACGAATACGAATAATTATTCACAAATACAATATTGTAGTTAAGTGATTGACGTATAATATGGAACGCCCATGCTGACAGTTTTGATTTGTCACAGCAATAACCAGTGATCTCATGACACTCAAATTGGTATGTAATAGTTATAGTCGACAGTACCATGTGCAGCCATGGTAAACTAACATGACTTGCGCTACTGCATATTCAATTCTTGCATATCTCACTTTCCGAAAGTACACAATGGTTCAAGTAAAACATGCTCTCTTAAAAAAAATCGTAAATATTCGTTAATATTCGGTTCTGGTGACCACGAATAACGAATTGAATTCATGAAGGGCCACGGTTCGATTCACCGAATATGCGAGTGAATTGTTACAGCCTTACAAAATATCATTGACAGACAAGATGTCAAAGTAATTGACACATGAGACGTCAAAAGACTTATGACACTGTAACATATGTTATATTTGGGATAACACTTTCTTAGTAAAGTACAGATTCTAGTACTTTTTGGGGTTGAGTCCCATCAACATGATCTGCATCTGAGAAGATGCCAAAGGGTTATGGCAGATAGATGATGAACAAAGCAACACACCCCCAAAAATGACTTAAACTAACATACTCCCCTATTCCATGAGAAATATCAGTGGTGGGTGTCCATGAGAAATATCACTTGATGGTTCTTATCTCCGTCGGAGCGGTGGGGTAGCCTAGTGGTTAAAGCGTTGGCTCATCACGCCAAAGACCCGGGTTCGAATCCCCACATGGATACAATGTGTGAAGCCCATTTCTGGTGTCCCCAGCCATGATGTTGCTGGAATATTGCTAAAAGCGGCGTAAAACCAAACTCAGTCAGTCAGTCTTATCTCCATCAGTGGGATGGAGGGATGTAAATGAATGTTCACCGTTTGAGTATTGTCTTGTCTCCATCATCAGCTAGCTGACCCTGCAGCCACAGAATCTCACGCAGACCAATCACATCCGTGGCATGAAACACCGGGAACATCTTGGCAGTCAGTATCGTCTGATTGTCATTCTCCTTGAACATATTTGCAGAATTTGGTACAAAATATTCTTAATAAGGCCTAAAAAAAAAAGCTTGTGGTTCCGATTTCCCGACCGACCCTAAATATTCCCGCTGAGCCTAACAATTTTACTCACCACATAATAAATTAAATTTATTTTCTGACACATGAGTAATGTAAAATTATTTTGCAAAAAAAACCCAAAACCCTACCTACCTACCCTAGTTCTGAAATGTAGGAAATTGGAACCACAACATTTATTTTTTGGGGCCTAAATCATCAAAGATGTCATCTCTGGTTTCCATTTTTTATGATCAATATGGTAATAATTGCATGCATTGTTTGAACAAAAGCACAGACAAGTTGTCGTTACCAGCCAGATTTCACTCACCACCTCCGTCCCCCCACAAGTCCTCCTTGGTGATGCCGGTCCTGTTGAGGACGACCAGCCACGGCTCGTTACAGAAGGAACTGGAGCCCTTCCATGATGGAGCCTGTACAACACAAGACATCAGCAGACATCAGTTAGCAGACATCACCGGAGCTCAGTAAACATTAACCTCAACAATCAGGGGAGATAAGTCATCCACATATCTACTAAAGTACTGTCGGAAATAGAAAACAACTGTTTTTAGGCTGTTACTCTGTATCCCTATAATTTACACAACTGCATTTAGCATATGTTGAAATAACCCACATCGGCCTAACTGGGCGTTCAGTGGGATGTGTAATAGGATATCCAGAAATGCATGTTTACTTGTAAAATCGGGCAAAACGTAGAAAAGTAAGAATAGCTGCTGAAAACAATAGATCAGACTATAGATGGCAATTAGGTCGCTCGGACAGGTATGGAGACGGACCGTTGACTCACCTGGCATGAAATGCATGTGCTGCCTACAGGCACAAGGGGTCATCTCAAAGATATTTTATGCTTTTTTCATGTGTATTGAATATGTCTCATCTATTGATTATCATCTTACGTGTCTTTAATAACGTTTATGTTGAGATATGTAAAAGAATATGATACCCACAGAAAAGCTTAAATCAACTAATGTAATAAATGTCTCAAAATATATAGGTGGCAAGACTACCCCAAGATCGACAGAACTGGATATTATTTGTTAATTGTTAAGACATGCCGTTTACTTCCCCCAGTTTAATCCCCTAAAGGATTATCTTATCTTAGCTGATATCTCTTTCCCCCAGTACCACCCCAGCCACCGTCTGTGACACTCCTCCTGGTTTTGCTTTTGAGACGGCCCCTCCTACCTGTTTCTTTTTATAATGATAGTGAGGCTCCATGGTAGCTACATCCTTAATAGTTTCAGTCTTAAAGTTAGTATTTTTTACATCAGCTATCGTTTATAATGAAGCTAAGTCTAGTTTCAAAATGGGCATTTGAAAAGTGTCCTTTGAAATACAATATCATCGCACACTAATAAAGCCATGGTCTGTTCTAAATAAGTAGCTTTGGACTTAGAAAAAAAATGCATTGCTCATTTCTGCAATAATCTCTCTTCAGTAAAGTCCTTTTTTCACGTTTCCTATCTCCTTACCACTGAGACTGTAGTTAGGCCAAACTTAGTTTAACAGATATTTCACACTTTCACATATTAACTTCATAAATTGTACATATAAATGTGGAAAAACAGTTTTTTTCTATTTCCGACAGTACTTTAGTATACGACATACAAGATTTGTTTCTTGCTCATAACTATAGTTTAATTGTCCCTCACTTCTGATGCTTATTCTAAAATACAGTCCAACACTGTTGGTTGAAGGTGGAGGGACCTACATAAATACTTCGCGTTGTCCGAGGTTTGACAGTTTCACTGTGCAGTGATGGTGTCATGGCGAATCCCTTGGAAAGGTCACTGTTTTCAGCAGCTTGATTTGAGAGTTTCTAGGACCATGTTCTGCCCCATACTGAAGACCATGAAGCATGTGTGGTGTCCCACTTAGGCAAGTGATATTTTCCTAATATGACTCTGTTCACCCAGCAGTGAGTGGGTACCCGGTAGGAGTTTCTAGGACCATGTTCTGCCCCATACTGAAGACCATGAAGCATGTGTGGTGTCCCACTTAGGCAAGTGATATTTTCCTAATATGACTCTGTTCACCCAGCAGTGAGTGGGTACCCGGTAGGAGTTTCTAGGACCATGTTCTGCCCCATACTGGAGTTTCTAGGACCATGTTCTGAAGACCCATGAAGCATGTGGGTGTCCCACTTAGGCAAGTGATATTTTCCTAATATGACTCTGTTCACCCAGCAGTGAGTGGGTACCCGGTAGGAGTTTCTAGGACCATGTTCTGCCCCATACTGAAGACCATGAAGCATGTGTGGTGTCCCACTTAGGCAAGTGATATTTTCCTAATATGACTCTGTTCACCCAGCAGTGAGTGGGTACCCGGTAGGAGTTTCTAGGACCATGTTCTGCCCCATACTGAAGACCATGAAGCATGTGTGGTGTCCCACTTAGGCAAGTGATATTTTCCTAATAGTGACTCTGTTCACCCAGCAGTGAGTGGGTACCCTAGGTAGGAGTTTCTAGGACCATGTTCACCCCATGGGTACTGAAGACCATGTTCTGCCCCATACTGAAGACCATGAAGCATGTGGTGTCCCCACTTAGGCAAGTGATATTTTCCTAATATGACTCTGTTCACCCAGCAGTGAGTGGGTACCCGAGTTTCTAGGACCATGTCCTGCCCCATACTGAAGACCATGAAGCATGTGTGGTGTCCCACTTAGGCAAGTGATATTTTCCTAATATGACTCTGTTCACCCAGCAGTGAGTGGGTACCCGGTAGGAGTTTCTAGGACCATGTTCTGCCCCATACTGAAGACCATGAAGCATGTGTGGTGTCCCACTTAGGCAAGTGATATTTTCCTAATATGACTCTGTTCACCCAGCAGTGAGTGGGTACCCGGTAGGAGTTTCTAGGACCATGTTCTGCCCCATACTGAAGACCATGAAGCATGTGTGGTGTCCCACTTAGGCAAGTGATATTTTCCTAATATGACTCTGTTCACCCAGCAGTGAGTGGGTACCCGGTAGGATGAGACAGTAATGTGACCCTTAGCCTTCTAGTGCCTCACAGACAGCTTTAGTTGTATACTCCCCAGTGAGCTGAGAATGAATATCTAATAAACACTGATCCACTGACTGGGGTAATGAGATCAGTGTTTTAAGCATACACATTATTGGTGTTGTTGGATAGGTACATAGGATTATGGCACACATAAAGGATACTAGGCTAATTGAAGTGCCTTGGACAAATAAGTACAAAGATGATGATGATGATGATGATGATGATGATGATGATGATGATGATGATGATGATGATGACAGGGATTTACCTTGAGACCTGTATTTGAGGGTGCCTGGGATTCATACTCTTAATTCTGAGGGGTCCTGGACTACAAAATGGGGGTCCCAGGCACTTACATATTATTATTAATACTATGTTGTTAATATTGTTATAATTCAGTGACTGTGATTGTATTGTGTATCATGATCATCACGTTGTTACAGTAATTAAATTGCAAATGATATCATAACCCGGTTAGGAGCAGACTCAGTGATAACCTATTGTCACTTGATGGAAATGTTTACAAAATGTAGTTGGACTTTTTCTGCATCCCTGTGGACAGGCTAATATATTTCGTTGCATCCGTTGTCAATTTTTATACGTATAGGACGCAGGAATTCGCATCCCGTGAATCTCTGGATGATGATGATGATGATAGTGCTATCCCATTGAGATACAAAACACAGCATACTGACATGAGCAGATAAGTTATTGCTTCATCCCATTAATTAAAGCAACAGGCAGGGAAATAAAAAGTACTATGATTTAATGCCTTTCAGTTTGACACAATCAGGAATCAAACCACGCACATGTCGCTTTGCTGGCAAACACGCTTTCCACTAGACCTGGAAACAGTATTCTTGATGGGGACGGCACAGGAAAAATCTCGCACCTGTTTTTCTGCTTCCTGACATAGACCTTGCTTCACAAAGGAATAGTATCAATACAACCAGCCTATGTTTGAACACTGGAGTTTGTGCAGCAGGGCTGAGTCAGACATCAAATGTAACATACCTTGATGTTGTCGAATCGGCCATGGATGGTAAGGACATATGGACTTGTCCCTAAGGTCTTCAGATAGATGTGGAACCCCTGAATCACAAGTCCGTCTCCGAAGTTGATTATTCTCTTTTTCTTCTACAACAGGAAATAACAGAATACTCGTCTTGAATAATGATCCTAACCTAAGACTCTACTTACAAGAAAAATGTAAACAAGCCTGTTTTCCGGCTCCTAAATCAGTTACGCACAGTACACACCGTGTACACAATCTTGTAGGGTGAGAGGTCACTGTTAAATACATCACTTGTAATGGTGGACATGTTGATCTTGACATCTGTGTTCACGCAGAAAGAACTAAACTTGTTAATGAAAATCAAGCCCACCATACAAACGGTGAACAAATCACCAAATCTGAACTCATATACACCAAAACAGAACAAAAATCACCAAAACTGCAACAATATCCTCTAAACCGAAACAATACATCTGTAATGGAAGCCTAATCGTTTGAAATGGAAACAAAACTCGTGTATCAGCTACAAGAGCATGTGAGAACGGTCGCCGAGCATACAAAACGGCCTTCAAATCGTCAAAGATGGCGGCGAGGGCAGACGAATAGGCTTTGGTACATAATTTTTTCGTCACTGTGAGTCTAATCTTGAGAATTTGATATCAGGATGTAGTGCATAAACCCCCCTATTGTAGTAAGCTTCAAACCTATGTCCATACTTCTCAGTGTCAGGCTTGCAATTCTACAGAATGTGGTCCCTCGTTCGACTGAAGAGGATTTCTTGTCAACATGCCGTGCTACAGTTTCTCTATAGTTTTGTAAATAAAGCATTCATAGCATCACATTCAACATTACTATATTTTAGTGGTTTAAAAAGTTTACAAAAACTTTGTTCATTCTCCGTGAATTGCATATCTAAGTGATCATTTCTACTTTGACTTCCCAAATTGCCCTTTTTTTAATTTCTCAAACTTGTATTCAAATGTATCAAATGTATTGTATCAAATTTTCAAGATTAGACTCACAGTGATGAAAAACATTATGTACCAAAGCCTATTCGTCTCCCCTCGCCACCATCTTTGATGATTTGTATGCCGTTTCGGGATGCTATGACTGCCGTGTTGGGATGCTATGAACGCCGTTTTGTACGCTCAGCGACCGTTCTCGCGCGCTCTTGTAGCTGATACGCGAGTTTTGTTTCCATTTCAAACAATTAGTCTTCCATTACAGATGTATTGTTTCGGTTTTAGAGGATATTGTTGCAGTTTTGGTGATTTTTGTTCTGTTTTGGTGTATATGAGTTCAGTTTTGGTGATTTGTTCACCGTTTGTAAGGTAGGCCTGAAAATATCAGTTGAAAAGCAACTACATGTATATGCTAACATTCTTCCAGATATAGCTGCCATACAGCTGGAATATTGCTGAGTGCGGCGTAACACTACACTCACTCACTCTTCAAGATATGAGGTGTTGTGACCAGTTCTGGAGAGTCATGACCATGGATATGCTTCTCAGTCTGCTGATAAGGAATTGTCTGCTGTCAGTTACAGCGATACGACTGTTGAAATCATGGCACAGCCAATATTTGCAGTGCAGTCTGATTAATTCACTTGGTTGCACCTGGTGTAGCTGTAAAAATCATGAAATTGTTCTATGTAATCAGACAGATGTTTTGATGCTTATTGATTCCACCACCAGTTGCTTGACAGAAGTCAATACAGCACACTGTAGTGCATCCTCGATATCTCTAGGGTATACGTTACGATCACTCTGCACTATAACCTGGATGCATCCACGGCTTTTTGTGTTGATTTTATTACCTCCTTTGCCTGGCTTTTTATCCAATCAGGTGTCTACACTGGGAAGTTGAGCGAACCAGTCACAACTTACTTTCACTTCTTAAATTATCTAACCGTTTAAACTTGGCAACACAATAGATGCAGGGGGCACTCTGAAGATGTGGAAGGAGTTCTTTTACATGTTTTGTAAAGTTTCAGATCTGTCAATTTGTTTGTATTATTTCTCAAATCTGAGTGGTACTGCGAACAAACCTTCGCGACTGCGACCACTGTCAAGCTGTTGACACTGGCAAGCTCTGATGTAACGGCGGCTTAGCTGATTGGCTACTGTGAGAATGAGGAGCCAGCAAAGGGAGGTAATATAATTATCGGGCCAAGGCGTGGATGCATCCACGTGATCGTAACGTATACCCTGGAGATATCAATGATGACTGTAGTGAGAAAGTATGGGTTTATGTCGCTTCTCGCAATATTCCGGCAATATCACGTTCAGGAGGGGCAGTGGTGTAGTCTAGTGGTTAAAGCATGCGTCCCAAAGATCCCGGTTCGATTGTCCACATGGGTACGATGTGTGAAGCCTATTCTGGTGTCCCCCACTGTAATATTGCTGGAACATTGCTAACAGCTGCCTAAACCCAAATTCACTCACGGCAGGGATACCAGAAATGGGATTTGCAAATTGTACCTATGTGGTGAATCGAACTCGAGTGGATGCATTAGCCATTAGGCTTACCCATGCCCCCAGCCCAAGGCTAGAATATCGCTGACAGAGGCAGGAAGCAGCATTTACTGAAATAAAACAACAAGAAATGGTGCGATCTGTACTCATGATCACTGACTTATTGCCGTGTAACAATATGTCTTACATTAACTTCCTCCACGCTAAGACAGGAGATGACAGAATCCCGTCCAATGCTGATCCGGCCATGCAGGTCACAATGACTCACGACACTCCTCGCTCCTACAGTTACCTCCCCTTGCAGACGACTGTTTATGATTGTGACATTGCTATCCACCTCAGCTTCATCCTGAATAATGAAGTGTTACCAAAATGATAAAATATAACTGAGTATTCTCAATTCTACTATTCTCAATCAATCATCTGTAGTCTTCCGTTCCTCAGTAATTTACTCTGATAGTTTGTTTGTTTGTTGTTTAAGACCGCACTCAGCAATATTCCAGCTATATGGAAGCAGTCTGTAAATAATCTGAACCAGACAATCCAGTGATCAACATCATGAGCATCTATCTACACAACTGGGATACAGTGACATATGTCAACCAAATCAGCGAGTCTTACCACCTCTTACGACATGGGTTGCTGATGAACAATTCTAACCCAGATTTTCACGGATTGTGTTTGGTAGGCAGATCAACCAAAATATTAATGGAAGGATTTTCCACTCGGTCGTCAATGGACGGTCTGGACATGACAGGGCACCTGCAATGAGGTTCTGAAGCCCTGGAATATGTTTGGCTTTGACCAAGTCGTCACCTAGATGACCACAAGTCTCGCAGCGTTTGCTGCCCGCTGCATATGCCTATGCAAATAATTCCTGATGATCAAACGATCAAACGATCAAACGTCTTCTTGCTGCAAGTACAGAGTTTGCATTTACAGGGTGTTACCTCGACTCACAAACATGGGGGTCTGGGGAACCCTAATTTTTAATTATTAGTGTCCTTGCAGGCACTACGACATTCTCTTCCCACAGAGGTTACTTGTCATATCTTCCTACGAACCTCTGTTCTAATACGGCCATATTTCCTGGTTCTCGTAAAATCCCCTAGCGGCAAAAGATCGCAACACGAATTATCTCCCTTCTTTCTATCCAATCAGAACACGTGTTACATCGACTTAGATTCAACTTGACTAACACAAGCAAATGTGAGGCCACAAATATCCCCCATCTGCCGGGGACGTATGTTGATGTTACACACAAGACGTTTAATGGTTAGCTTGTCCGTTGTCAACGAGGGCGATGGAGACGCCACTGATCCGCCATAACATGACTGAGTTCTGTCTAGAAGAAACGTTTACGCATCGCGCAGGGGAAGAGGTTTAGTTTTCTCGAAGTATACGGAAATTACCGAGGCCTTGCGAATGATCACTTTTGAAACAACGTCGCTGATTGCACAACCAAAGCTGATTGCCTCCAATCACGAGTCTTGAATGCTCACACCATGAAAGGGCCGTATTAGAACAGAGGTTACGTAGGAAGATATGACAGGAGTTACCTCTGTGGGAAGAGAATGGCACTACGAGGGTCCTGTGAGCTAACGGTGTAGAGAACTGTACGTTTAGAGCCTGGAATGAATCATTGATCATGTGGTCTGATGGATGTTATGATGCACGTAAATGCTCTAAAAGAAACAACCAAACACTTAACAAAGTCATAGAGGTGTTGTGGGTACAATGAATAATATTGTGCGTCCCTCTAAATGCAGTGATTCTTTGCTACATTTTCCACATTTGCGCATCGCATAAAACCCTGGTTTATGTGATACTGAGAGGTAATTTCCTATCCGACTACCTTGTTCCTAAGTTACTAAAACACCTCACCACCAGAACAACTTTATTAAATAGAAAAATGGATAGCTCTGATACAGGATGTCTGCACCCAAGAAAGACAAAAAGGAGAATGGTTCCATCTGGCAGTCACATGATCAACCTGGGCAGGTCACATGATTAGCCTGGACAGGTCACATGTTAAGCCTGGGCAGGTCACATCCTCTTCATGAGCTTCCAGTCACTATCCTATAATAATTCGCGCAGGGCGTTTAAAAGAATGAAAAATTATATTTGGTAGTTTCCACAGGTTATTCATGCTCACGCAGCCCTTTGTTAATTAATCCTATCTGTTAGGCATAAGAATTAGCTTGGCCAGACACGGTGTAGGGGTAGTAAGTTACCTGTGAAATTGTATCCATAAAATTTTAACGCCTACTTTAAGGATGTTAAAGTGAACACAACAAGGTCTTCATCTGGCATATAAACCTGAAGCCTGCTTCTCACTATGTATTAAGCATCTCTTCCTTTCCCAGAATAACCGCATTTGAGGTTTTTGTTTGCTCTCAGGTTTTACTTTTCGTAAGTAAGACCTCTTCCCAGGTTTTACTTTTTGTAAGTAAGACCTCTTCCAAGGTTTTACTTTTTCCTAACTCTATGTGAAGATCAACATTCAAATGATATATGAGTGTTTGAAATCAATTGAAAACTTTCGTCCAAGATCATATAAAAGTGCAAATGTTTTCCAAAGCAGGATTAGAATCGCATCTATCATGTTAATAAGCAGACGCTCTACCTCACGGCCACCGTGCCGACAAAGACGTTGGGGTTGAATTATCTATTTATAGTTACTGTCATTAAATTGATGTTACTTGCGCTTCAGTTATTGTTATGTAGCTTCATTAAATGATCATCTATAAACATTATAATTATCCATCATTGACGGTTTATATGTTAGGGAAGACACTTCCCCTTGGTTTTTGGTAGAGAATGTAAAACCTTTGGAGGAGGGAAATCCCTCCTCCCTCGGGTTTACATTCTCTACCAAAACCTCGGGGGCATGTTTTCTCCTATACATACACGATGAATTACACTAAAAATCAACCTACAAATACCACAGTTGAAAGGACGAAAGAAAGGGCATAACAAGAGATAGTTTAAGTCTAAAAATACTATGGTTCATTATACGCCTACCAACTACCGGTAAAACATATATAACTGAAAAAAAAACCCAGTTATATCCATCAGTTTGATATATCTGCCAGTTTGATATACCCACCAGTTTGTTATATCCGTCAGTTGAATATATATCCGTCAGTTTGAAATATCTGTCAGTTTGCAGAGGTACAGATAAGCTGCGTATCTGCGTAAATGACGCAAATATTTATGTGAAAACTCAATTCCTATTAAGTCTATTGAGTACAAGTACGCTTGAATTTTTGTAAATACTCAATAAATGTGATCTTACACGCGTACACACAAAAATGTCAAATCTTAATATGCGTACCGGTGGATAGATACTATAACTGACGTATACTGAGAGGTTCTATTTCAGGATATGAACTTAACAACTTGCAGTTTTTCTTATCGCTTCTCATATTACAGATCAAATATAAATAAAAAACACTCAAATTTAAATTTTATTATATTTTTAAATTATTGGAAAATGGCAAAATACCCAATTGAGTTTGAGTGAGATGAGTACAATGTATTTGGTTACTCAAAGGAAAATTAGGATACCCAATTGAGATGAACACAAGCGAGTACATAACTCAATGACCCAAAAAGTTATCTGTAGCTCTGAGTTTGTGATATCCATCAGTTTGATATATCCATCAGTTTGATATATCTGCCAGTTTGATATACCCACCAGTTTGTTATATCCGTCAGTTGAATATATATCCGTCAGTTTGAAATATCTGTCAGTTAGTGATATCCATCAGTTTGATATATCCATCAGTTTGATATATCTGTCAGTTTGATATATCCGCCAGGAATGAAATATATCCGTCAGTTTGTTATATTCGTCAGTTTCATATATCCTTCAGTTTCATATATTTCATATATTCGTCAGTTTGTGATAAACACTGTTTACTGTAAAGGATCAGGTTTTATCAGATCAGATCAGATTTTATTATCTATACAAACATTTGAAAAGATTTAATTTATTATACAAAAAATCAATTTGAAAACCATGCCATGTGTCACCATAGCTAATGTTGATTCTTCAAGTCATGTGAGCCCAAACGTGCTGTTTGCACATTTCTACAGAAAGAAATCAATATTTAATTCATTTGTTAGATTGAAAATAAAACGTTCTGAAAACTAAACTGAAATGTTCATCAAAACTGGCATCTAATAACAGCAGCAATAGACACATGGTGCAGGTGTGTTTTAAGGTTCGATAAAAGCTCATTGAGCAGATTGAATAGCTGGGATTTTATAATCACTCTGTAGAAAATACATTGTGGTTCACAGGGTGGGCATCAATATCAGAAATAAAATAAAAAAAAGAATTTGGCTTTCATCTGATGAGTGACTGGCTGTTTGTTTGGAATAGCAGGAAATAGTGTATAAGTAATCAGACAGTACCATTACAGCAGAACCTACCTCGATGCATGAGTGGATAATGTTATTCCAGATGAGATCCTTGAAGCCACATTGCTCTAGGGGGCAGGACAGCATCATCTTCTTGTGTTCCGAGGCCAGGTCTGTCAGGTAGTGGAAGCTCCCACTCTCAACCATACCTGCAGTCAGTCAGTGAGTGAGTTGATGCTTGAGTGATATGTGATTGATTGAGTTATTGGGTGAAAGAGAGTGAGTGAGCTTATGCTTGAGTGATACGTGATTGATTTATTGATTGAGTTGGTGGGGGGTAAGAGAGGCTGGGTGAGTGAGTGAGCGATTGAGTTGGTAGGTGAGTGAGTATGGTGAGTGTGGGTGAGTTGGGTCGTGGAACTTACCATATCTCCAGTGAGCGAGTGAGTGAGTAAGTGGGTGGGTAAGAGAGAGGGAGATTGGGTGAGTGAGTGAGTGAGTGAGGGTTGGTGGGTGAGTCGGATCGTGGAACTCCACATACCTACGGTGAGCGAGAGAGACTGGGTGAGTGAGTGAGTTGGTGGGTGAGAGAATGAGTGAGTGCGGTGAGGTGAAATGCGGTTTAATGTCATACTTGAGAATATTTCGCTCACATGACGACGTGCATGCATGCATGCATGTAATTGTGCGGCCGCTTGTACTAGCCCAGACTGAAGCTGGTTTTATTGTGCTAGCTCACTGAGATACTATGCTGCAATGAAGCATGAATACCCCACTCAGACACATTATAGTGACTCCAAGTCCTTGTTGTACCCATTAATGCCGAGCGCCAGGCAGGGACCAACAAGTACCATATTTTAACGTCTTTTGGTATGACGCGATCGGGGATCGAACTCGTGACCTTCCGCACTCAATGGCAGAGGCGGTTGAATGAGTGAGTGAGTGAGTGAGTGAGTGGGTGGTTGAAGGAGAGAGACTGGGTGGGTGAGTGGGTGGGTGGGTTGAGTGAGTGGATTTGGGTGTCCGTGAGTGAGTGGGTCGATGGATGTGTGAGTGAATGAGTGAATGAGTGAGTGGGTCAGTGGATGTGAATGTCAGTGGATGTGAGGATGGATAGTCAAATATGTTTACAAACCAGTAGAAACCCTGATTGGCAATAAATGGAAATTCCATGTTCTCCTACCTGATTCTCTAATCATAAATATCCATTTAAATTTTGCCTTAAGAATAATAATGAGTATGAACACAATGATTTTGAGAATATTTCTCGCTCATATGACAAATCTAACTCATTAAATAGTGCTAACCCACTGAGATGCCATGCCGCATTTAAACACATTATACTGACTCCCAGACATTAATGCCGGCCCAGGCAAAACAAGAATAATAATTTAACATCTTTTTGAGCTATCAATACTTTTACTGAACGCCGCTAACTATGGAGGCTACATTATCACAGCTACAATAGTTTTACTGACGTTGCTATGGAGGCTACATTTTACACAGAAGCTTCTCCTTCAACTTCACCATGATTGATTGATTGATTGATTGATTGATTGATTGACTGATTGCTGCTTAACGCCGCACTCAGCAATATCCCAGCTATATCGGGACAGTCTGTAAATAATCAAGTCTGGATCAGACAATCAAGTGATCAACAGCATGAGCATCGTTACTCACCTGGGATCACGATGACATGTGTCAACTAAGTCAACGAACCGACCTCCCATCCCGTCAGTCGCCTCTTACGACAAACATAGGTTACTGAAGACCAATTCTATCCCGGATGTTCACGAGTACTTCACTGCGAGGCTGGAGACAGACTCACATGTCTTCATCCTGTATCCACGCAACTCCTTCCACAGAAGAGTGCGAGCCAGCGCCATGTTGGTCCGAGACTCACTACTCTGCTGCTGCATGGGTTTACCAAAGGTGCCGCTTCTCTCACCAGACACAAAGTCTGTCTCGGACAGTCCAGTCGTCATTGGCAACATGACGTCAAAAAACAAAGAGAGCTAGAAACAGATTTTAGATTTAGAAAAGTTATTTTCAAATCTGATTAAATGAAGTGACAAGACTGGATCGAATTTACATAAGGTAACTTTGTTTTAGTTGTTTAATGCCACACTCACAATATTCCAGCTATACAATAGCTGTCTGGAAACAATCGAGTCTGGACCAGACAATCTAGTGATCAATATAATGAGCATCAATCTATTGGGATACAATGATATGTCTCAACCAAGTCCGACCACCCGATCCCGTCAGTCACCTCTTATGACCACCAAGGTTGCTGAAGACACATGAGGTAAGTAGATATATGACTCACAAGCTCACTAACTAACATGGTATGTTACCTGGAGTGGGGGCTGACCACTGTCCAGACCCATGTAGGTGCAGGCATCGAGCGGGGGTTTCATATAGAAGGACAGTAGTTTCCCAGCAACCGCCTCATTGAAGTAAACTATTCCCACCACCTGAAAATATGAACATTAATTAGAAAAAATGAACACAGTACTGACTTACATCATGTGACAGTAATCAATAGCCTGAAAACGATTGAATCTGGATCATACAAACCAGAGGTTAATATCATGAGCACTTAAGTCACCAGCCTCACCACCAAATCAAAGTCATTCTCTCAATTTTCTGAATGTTATTTTCACTGTGATAGGATTTGCATTTAAAATTAGATTTTCGAGACCTCAAGTGAGTGAGTCACTCACTCACTCACATGGATCCATCTGACCTCTGACAGGTGTCAGCAATATATTTCATCACTGATCCCACTGTAGGCATGGATCGATCTGACCTCCGACAGATGTCAGCAATATATTTCATCACTGATCCCCCTGTAGGCATGGATCCATCTGACCTCCGACAGATGTCAGCAACATATTTCATCACTGATCCCACTGTAGGCATGGATCCATCTGACCTCAGACAGATGTCAGCAATATATTTCATCACTGATCCCACTGTAGGCATGGATCGATCTGACATCCGACAGGTGTCAGCAATATATTTCATCACTGATCCCACTGTAGGCATGGATCTATCTGACCTTGGACCTGATCTGACCTCAGTGTACTACTGATATATTTCATCATCGATACTCACGGAAGGCACGGATCCATCTGACCTCTGACAAGACTCCAAATTTTCCACTTTTTCTTTGTACAGAATGTCCTCTACGAATCCCTGGAATCATACTTTAGAAGATTAGACATTTACTTAAGACACACTAACATTGGTCACATAATGCATTGATATTAGATCACAAAAAGTAAATTTGTTGATAAGGACATTAGTGTTAAAAAAATGATCAGATAGAAGAGTCACGCATCAAATGTTTCATATCATCTCAAATTGTAATTCACTTGAAGAACTCATCAATTCCCGAACACATTTCAAACTTAAAATTCAGAATTCATATAGTTTTTTTAATTTTGCATTTTTTGTCCACGCCCACCCTCCTTCATCCAGCCCTAGGATCCCTCCAGTATCCCACCCCTCCTTGATCCAGCCCCAGGATCTCTCCAGTATCCCACCCCTCTTTGATCCAGCCCCAGGATCCCTCCAGTATCCCACCCTCCTTGATCCAGCCCCAGGATCCCTCTCCAGTATCCCACCCTCCTTGATCCAGTCCCAGGATCCCTCCAGTATCCCACCCTCCTTGATCCAGCCCCAGGATCCCTCCAGTATCCCATCCCTCCTTCATCCAGTCCCAGGATCCCTCCAGTATCCCACCCCTCCTTGATCCAGCCCCAGGATCCCTCCAGTATCCCACCCTCCTTGATCCAGCCCCAGGATCTCTCCAGTATCCCATCCTCCTTGATCCAGCCCCAGGATCCCTCCAGTATCCCATCCCTCCTTGATCCAGCCCCCAGGATCCCTCCAGTATCCCACCCTCCTTGATCCAGATCCAGCCCCAGGATCCCTCCCAGTATCCCATCCCTCCTTGATCCAGCCCCAGGATCCCTCCAGTATCCCACCCTCCTTGATCCAGCCCCAGGATCCCTCCAGTATCCCACCCTCCTGATCCAGCCCCCAGGATCCCTCCAGTATCCCACCCCTCCTTGATCCAGCCCCAGGATCCCTCCAGTATCCCACCCTCCTTGATCCAGCCCCAGGATCCCTCCAGTATCCCACCCCTCCTTGATCCAGCCCCAGGATCCCTCCAGTATCCCACCCCTCCTTGATCCAGCCCCAGGATCCCTCCTCCAGTATCCCACCCTCCTTGATCCAGCCCCAGGATCCCTCCCAGTATCCCACCCCTCCTTGATCCAGCCCCAGGATCCCTCCAGTATCCCATCCTCCTCCTTTGATCCAGTCCCAGGATCCCTCCAGTATCCCACCCTCCTTGATCCAGCCCCAGGATCCCTCCAGTATCCCATCCCTCCTTGATCCAGCCCCAGGATCCCTCCAGTATCCCACCCTCCTTGATCCAGCCCCAGGATCCCTCCAGTATCCCACCCCTCCTTGATCCAGCCCCAGGATCCCTCCAGTATCCCACCCTCCTTGATCCAGCCCCAGGATCCCTCCAGTATCCCACCCCTCCTTGATCCAGCCCCAGGATCCCTCCAGTATCCCACCCCTCCTTGATCCAGCCCCCAGGATCCCTCCAGTATCCCACCCCTCCTTGATCCAGCCCCAGGATCCCTCCAGTATCCCACCCTCCTTGATCCAGTCCCAGGATCCTCCAGTATCCCACCCTCCTTGATCCAGTCCCAGGATCCCTCCAGTATCCCACCCTCCTTGATCCAGCCCCCAGGATCCCTCCAGTATCCCACCCTCCTTGATCCAGCCCCAGGATCCTCCCAGTATCCCCACCCCTCCTTGATCCAGCCCCAGGATCCCTCCAGTATCCCACCCTCCTTGATCCAGCCCCAGGATCCCTCCAGTATCCCACCCTCCTTGATCCAGCCCCAGGATCCCTCCCAGTATCCCACCCTCCTTGATCCAGCCCCAGGATCCCTCCCAGTATCCCACCCTCCTTGATCCAGCCCCAGGATCCCTCCAGTATCCCACCCTCCTTGATCCAGTCCCCCAGGATCCCCCACCCTCCTTGATCCAGCCCCAGGATCCCTCCAGGTATCCCACCCTCCTTGATCCAGCCCCAGGATCCCTCTCCAGTATCCCACCCTCCTCGATCCAGCCCCAGGATCCCTCCAGTATCCCACCCTCCTTGATCCAGTCCCAGGATCCTCCAGTATCCCACCCTCCTTGATCCAGTCCCAGGATCCCTCCAGTATCCCACCCTCCTTGATCCAGCCCCAGGATCCCTCCAGTATCCCACCCTCCTTGATCCAGCCCCAGGATCCTCTCAGTATCCCACCCTCCTTGATCCAGCCCCAGGATCCCTCCAGTATCCCACCCTCCTTGATCCAGCCCCAGGATCCCTCCAGTATCCCACCCTCCTTGATCCAGCCCCAGGATCCCTCCAGTATCCACCCTCCTTGATCCAGTCCCAGGATCCCTCCAGTATCCCACCCTCCTCGATCCAGTCCCAGGATCCCTCCAGTATCCCACCCTCCTTGATCCAGTCCCAGGATCCTCCAGTATCCCACCCCTCCTTGATCCAGCCCCAGGATCCCTCCAGTATCCCACCCTCCTTGATCCAGTCCCAGGATCCCTCCAGTATCCCACCCTCCTTGATCCAGCCCCAGGATCCCTCCAGTATCCACCCTCCTTGATCCAGCCCCAGGATCCCTCCAGTATCCCACCCTCCTTGATCCAGCCCCAGGATCCCTCCAGTATCCCACCCTCCTTGATCCAGCCCCAGGATCCCTCCAGTATCCCACCCTCCTTGATCCAGCCCCAGGATCCCTCCAGTATCCCACCCTCCTCGATCCAGTCCCAGGATCCTCTCAGTATCCCACCCTCCTCGATCCAGCCCCAGGATCCTCCAGTATCCCACCCCTCCTTGATCCAGTCCCCCAGGATCCCTCCAGTATCCCACACCCTCCTTGATCCAGCCCCAGGATCCCTCCAGTATCCCACCCCTCCTCGATCCAGTCCCAGGATCCCTCCAGTATCCCACCCTCCTCGATCCAGTCCCAGGATCCATACTTCAGGATCCCACTGTCAACTCAGCACCAGGATCAACCCCTCCAGGATTCACTACTCCAGAAAGCCATCCCGTACACTGATTGAATTATCCAAGAACGTCCTCACTCGTTCCTCAGTGTTTCAGCAACACCTTGTGTACTCACCTTTGCATCAATCTTAAACACTCCATGGTCCTTACAATACTGAGGTGTGGACGGCACAGAGACAGCAATGACCTCCGACTGCTCCCATGGAATATCTACAACATTGACAGCAGAGTCTCCTTTGTGTTTCCTCACAGAAAGCTGTCAGTACATTCAGAAATGCTGCATCCTTTAAGTGTTTGATAGACATAGGAACAATAGGAACTGTTTTTCAAACTCTTTGCTTGTTACAAACAATAAGAAAGATGTTTTCTCAATTTCAAAAATGATTTTTTCATCACCTTCATCATCATCATCATCATCATCATCATCACCATCATTGTCATCATCACCATCGTTGTCATCATCATTATCATCATCATCATCGTATCGTTGTCATCAATCATCGCATCGTTATCATCATCATCATCATCACCATCGTTTTTACCATCATTAATAATAATAATAATAATAATGTCCATTTGTATGGCGCTGTTTCCACACACTAGTGTATGCTCAAGGCGCCCCGTGTGTACAGCTAAAAAACAACTGCAGGAATTGTGCAAGTCATTCGTAATATTTCCTGAAAAGATGGGTCTTCAATGAAGATTTGAATAAGTCAAGAGATTTTGCTGTTTTGATGGTTATGGGAAGACTGTTCCACAGTGAAGGAGCAGCATAGCTGAATGATCTGTGACCATAGTTCTTGAGATTGACAGGGGGTGTTGTTAGGAGGAACTGTTGGTGTGATCTCAGCTGTCGCGGCGGTGTGTACACTGAGATGAGTTCAGAGAGGTTCAGAGAGATCATTGTCATCATCGCCATTGTTGTCATCATCATCATCGCCATCATTGTCATCATCACCATCATTGTCATCACCGTCATCAGTCATAATCATCATCACCATCATTGTCATCATCACCATCGTTGTCATCATCATTATCATTATCATCATCATCATTGTTGTCATCATCATCGCCATCATTGTCATCATCATCGTCATCATCACCATCATTGTCATCATCACCACCGTTGTCATCATCATTATCATTATCATCATCGCCATTGTTGTCATCATCATCACCACCATCATTGTCATCATCGCCATCATCGCCATCATCATCATCGCATCATTACCATCATCATCATCACCATCATTGTCATCATCGCTACCATCATCATCATCATCATCATTGCATCATTGTCATCATCATCATCATCATCATCATCGTATCGTTGTCATCAATCATCGCATCGTTATCATCATCATCATCATCATCATCGACTCACCTGCGTCAGCTGGAATGGAGATGAGCATGTCTGTGCTACTGATCCATACACCGGGATCTGCCTTCACTGCCAGCTGAAGTAAGCAATGCAGCCAATGCAGCACATGTTCATCATTACATAGTTCCAGGCTACAGTTCTCACTAATCATCATTAGTCATGTAAATTTTTGACAAGAAGAATAGATTCCTGTGATATAAATTAGTTATCACATCTTACAGTCCAATACACTATCATATCTCACAGTCCAATACACTACAGTTAATCGATAACAACTTCTTATTTTATTCTTTGTCACAATGTTTTGGAGATAATTCTTGCTAATTTAGTCCAGTAAAAATCACTGAACCTAAACAAAATTGATACAAAAATGGTTTTGTGTTTATATCATTTGCAATAGTCTTGTAAACAATATATAAAAAGTCCTCCCTTGGATGTTGATGCCAAGTGGCTTTTTTGGGGCAAAAACTATGAAAAATAGTATTTTTCAATTATTATTTTTTATCTGAAAGAAAGTCCAGAAAATGGTATAAAATGTTGCAAAACATACAACTGAAGTGTACAAAATAGTAAATAATGAAAATTAAACCTGAAGAAAACTTATGACATGAGGCTGAACATGGATTTTGGACACTCCTGCACATGGGAAACAAATAAATGAGAGTTATCTCCCCTTTGTTTACAATAGACTGAAGTAGCAGAATGGAAAGGAAAGGTTATATCTTCTATAAAACTCTAACTAGATGTGGCTATAGTTAGCCAAATAGATAAAGGATTAAAAAGACAGCTAAAAGCTACAATTAAAAGAGATGAGGAGGAGGACTGAGGTGATATAACTATACTGAGTCAAAAAAGAAAGTTCACATTCTTTCTTCAGGGCACTATAAAAGAACAAGAGATGGTAAGATGGTTAAATTGTTATTATTTCATTGCTGAGATCTGTGTGATATACTCGATACACTGACAGTGCCATAATCAGTTCCATTAGGCTACACCGCCGTTCCAAAACATGGGTATACAGAATGTCAAGTCACAAGAATAAAAATGCGAAATTTCTCAGTTCAATATCGTGTATGGCCGCCCTGCGCATTCACCACTGCCAAACACCGTCTCCTCAATTGACTGCCTGATGCTTGTGAACACGTGGTTGGGGATTCTGTGCCATTGCTCTTGCAAGGCAGCGCCAAGTTCCTGCAAATGCTGAGGTTGGTTCCTAAGACCACGAAGCCTTCTCCCAAGTGCATCCCAAACGTGCTCTATTAGATTAAGGTCAGGGGACCTTGATGGCCAGTCCATGATGTTGATTCCAGCGTTTTGAAGGAAATTTTGTGTCAACATTGTGGTATGCGGCCGAGCATTATCATGCTGGAACTGTAGACCTGGGCTATGAGCCGCAATGAAAGGAACGAGTTCAGAGGTGAGCACCTGGTCGCGGTAAGCAGCAGCTGTGAGGTTTCCACGGATGACCAGAAGTCGGGAACGGTTGTTTCCACAGAAAGCACCCCACACCATGCAACTTCCGCCCCCGAATCTGTCGACTTCCTGTACACAACATTGGGCATACCGTTCACGACGTCGCCTCCAGACTCTATGCCTGCCGTCCGCGAATCTGAGGGTAAACCTAGATTCATCGCTAAAGACGACTTCGATTCCAGTCTCTGGGTCCATCGGAGGTGACGCTTGGGCCCACAGCAGACGCTTGACGTTGATGAAACGGCGTCAATATTGGTCCACGATATGGACGCCGAGAATGGAGATTGGCAGCCCGCGAACCGATTTCGAATGGTCTGTGAGGACAGTCGACCTCTAAACATCTCAGCCCTGGTTCATGTAGCCGGCAGAAATCTGTCACGTAGGTGACGTGGGATGATTTGACGGTCTTCTGCTCGTGACGTCACACGTGATCTAATTCGAATCTTGGGCGATCAGAAGTGGTGCCAGTTTGTTGTAGACGACCTCGCAAGTCATACACAGTACGATGGCTGCATCCCATTACTCTTGCGACGTCAATAACTGATCTTCCCGCTTGCAACATGCCAACGGCACGTTCACGTTGCACATTTGATAATCGTGGCATTTCAAGTACCGTTAGAACTGTGGTTTAAAAGTGTTTTTTTAATTCTTGGGGCCAATGCAAACACGTGCATATGAAGAAAACTTCGATGCGAAGATCACGTGATCGACTGCACGTGCAAAACCTGATTTCGCACTAACGTCATTTGCACGACGAATGGATGGGTTTGAGTGGGTTTTGCTAACGTTTTTCTAGAGTCGAAAGATAGGGATCCCAATTCGGATACATAGATGCATCAGCAGAGAAGAATTATTCATTATTTTTCAAATTACATTTTGTGAAGTTTCTTTTTTGACTCAGTATATATGCACTGCGGTTGTGTAAGACTATGCACCTTGGTGATAAAGGGGACATTCTGTATCAAGATTTAACAGAACTTGAAGAAACATATGCCAGAATAGATTATATGATAGATTAGGAAAATATAATACCATTTATATTTTCTATCTAATTTTTTTATTACAATTTCAAAAGGTGATTGAAGGATATGTTTGTTCTCTTTTAACTTTAACTGGCAACTACATATTATTATGTGAGCAGAGTGAGTGAGTATGTTTTTACGCTTGTAATGATTGAGTTTAGTTTTATGCCGCACTCAGCAATATTCCAGCTATGGCGTCAGTCTATAAATAATCGAGTCAGTGATCAACAGCATGAGCATCGATCTACGCTAATGGGATACAAAGACACGTGTCAACCAAGTCAGCGAGCCTGACCACCCGATCCCACCCACTGAAGACCAATTCTAAACTGGATCTTCACGGATGCTCGGCTACTTGATCAAAGCTCTATAGTTTGGCATGAAATGCATGTGGACCCGTTTTTTTTGTAAATATCTCTTCATCCAATTACCCAATCGATCTCAAACTGCGCTAGTGGACGTTTTGTCAGACAACCTAATCACATTGTAAATCGCCGATTTTATGCATTTGTATTAAAGAATCTGTCTATGCAACTGTCAACAAAATAAACAGCAGAATGCAGACGGCTTGCAAAGGGAGGGAGCCAATGACTTGTAACAGCGGCAGTGTTGGGTCATAAAGGTCAACGTTCGTCAATGTAGGTCAGCTATGCTGATGACCCTGATGTCAAAAGAATCTAACTGTGGATGCCTACCTTTTTGTACAAGGTTTTGTTTATTGGTTGTTGGTTTATTTTTCACAATTTCTAGCACGATGTTCTTTTTCATGCCAAAAGCAAAAGTTGTACGTTTCATGTAATCCGACACCTTATAAATCGGTTTGCGACGTTTGCTCTCTTTAATAAATTTCAACACATTTCTAATTAAACGTTTAGCCTCATCTGAATAGGCTTTCATGACAGCTAGAAGTAGTCAATGTGAATGATCCAAACGGTCTATCACTGTGCAGTGCACAGGTAACTATCATGAACTGCACGTGCATTTACCTTTATGACCCAACACTGCCACTGTTACAGGTCATTGGCTCCCTCCCTCTGCAAGCCGTCTGCGTTCTGCTGTTTATTTTGTTGACAGTTACATAGACAGATTCTTTAATACAAATGCATAAAATCTGTGATTTACAGTGTGATTAGGTTGTCTGACTAAACATCCACTTGCACAGTTTGAGATCGATTGGGTCATTGGATGAAGAGATATTTACAAAAAAACAGGGCCACATGCATTTCATGCCAAACTATAGAAAGGATTTGACAGCACAACCAGTATTGTCCTTTTTACTGCTAGTAAAAAAATTAATAATATTGGTAGTCTTAAAAATGAAATAACTAATGGACAAAAACTTAAATAGTAGGTGGTGCATGCTTGCTTATCAACCATCTTTAAATTTTGCTCAGAAAACAAAAAGATCTCTGACTGACACAGGGATGACTATCCCATGGCATTACATGTCGTTGGGGGTAACTGTCATGAAATCATGTACAATTCAATGTACCAGTAAGTGAAAAACAATTGGAAGCACCGTTGAATCAAATCAACTCACCAAACCACATCTCAAATATTCAAGTTAGCCTGAACACAACCCTTCAAATTATTGGACTTCCTTTACTCAGAATATCTTCTGTTAGTGTTAAGTTTTGCTTGGAATAGCATTGTCACCAAGCATGATACTCAAAATTGATTCAAACATACAGACTATGAGACCAAGGGTATCTCTGTCACGACTTTGGTGTTAGATACTCTTGGTGTTAGGGTCACTATCACTGATGTTCAAGCCAACTGATATGCTCATAAATATCTCGTTCATTATTACAAACTCTAGTTACAGAAGAAGGAACTAAGTGCAACGCTTCTGAAAATGGGTGTACACAGGGTCAGTTCATTCAGTTTGCAACAGATAATGTAGATCAATCTGAGAACATGGATTAACGCATACCGATGACGTTTTTGCCAATTAAGTGACTGTTTGCCAAGAATGCTGAGGTGTTGATGCTCTAAAAGGGATGGGTTCATATGTCCTGGGTATATGTGTTACGGAGATGCTGAATCAAATTGCTTGATGTCTTGAACAATTCATGTAGAATATAAAGTGAATCACTAGATTCTATCATTCTCAGTATTGAGTTATGTCGCCTTCGTGCCTATGATCAACCTGAATCCCAGACTCAAAGCTGTATTTGCTCAACTTACGTGTTTGTGAGCGGTCAAGACAAAGACGTACAATGTTGGTACACATTCCGACAAGCCACATATATTAGGTTAACCAGAGTCAAGTAATCTACATAGATTCATATTTACGTGGAAGTCAGCTGGTTGTATTTGACAGATAATACCTCACATAGGACACTGTAATGGATATACTGTGAGAATTTGTCACCCATATGTTGACATGGAAGTTCCATCATGCATGATCTGGTCCCCTGTACTTCAATCGGTTCCATGAGGTTTCAGCAGAAATATATTGATGTGGATTTCAGTCTTTAGCAATAAATACACTCTTCTTTCAGTAAACTTAAACCTATTGTCATGGACAAATACCTGGAGAGCAAAGGCAACACTTAGTTTCTTAATTGCACTCCTACTGGCTTTGGATATAGCCGTTGCAAGTATACTACCATGGACAAAGTCAAACATATTGTTCATAACTTGAACTCTCTCTCTCTCTCTGTTCAAAGTTTATGAATAAATATGTGTTAGTTATATAAGATATAACAGCTTCTCCATATTGATAGAGGATAGTTCCCTTTCAGATGAATCATAATAGTCCAGTCAAAATGTGACAAAACCTCCAAATAATTGGTACAGAAATGATTTGAGTGTTCTCAACATGTTTAAGTTATAACTAATGAGTATTAAAAAGTCCTCCCTTGAAATATAATGCTAAGTCCTATTTTGGGGGTAAAAAGTTTAAAAATTGAAATCTTCAATAAATAATTTTTAAAATCTCATATTGAGTCACAAATTTACCTTTATATATATATTTTCAAAGAGTACACAAGGTAATACCAATAGATGAATTAGAAAAGTCAAATAATGTTATCCGAAGTCTTATTTTGGGTTAAAAAGTTAAAACATTGAAATTTTCAGAGAATATTTTTAAAATTTCATACTGAGACACAATCATACTTTTTATGGATATTTTCAAAGAGAGCGCAAGGTATTACTAATACATGGGTTATGAAAGTCAAATATGAATATTAATAGTGAAAAAGAATGCAAGAGAAATTTCAAACAGCTTAAGCAGCATATGGAAAATAATCTATTTTATGAACTAAATATCATATATACTGAGCAGCTAAAGAAATGTCAGTTTGGGATTTTCCTTCGCAGAAACGGATAACTGTAAACTCATGTAATGTTTTGATTGTATATTTTTTACAACATCTCCAACTCTACCTGAGCAAAGACATTCCTTCCCAAACTCAGAATGGAACCCAGGAAATGGTCTCAAAAACGCATCCTGACCTCGGAGATGGTACGGTGTTCTCCATGGTTTTCATGCAACTCATGCTGCACGTGCTGTTCACAAGGACCAGCCCTATAAAATGCACCCCCAAACCTGTTTGCAACATTCACATTACAACGTCAGCAGGATGCAGCGTCTCACAACTGGCGATACAGACAATGGAGAACTGTTCTGTTCACAGATGAGAGTCGGTACCGCGTATCAACTGCAGATGGCAGAACAAGAATATGGCGACGACGTGGCCAGCGTTACTCAGACCAATGTGTTATGGAAAGAGACTCATGGGGAGGTGCAAGCATCATGGTATGGGGTGGAATAGGCCTGAATCAGAGAGTGGGTCCTGTGATGTTCCAGAACCTTGGTCCAGGGAGAGGAGGCATCACAGCGGTGCGCTACATCGACCAGGCTCTCAGACCCCACGTCATACCACATTTTGTACGTCACGGGAACAACATTTTCCAGCATGATAATGCCTGGGGCCCATACTGCCAGAGCTACATGGGACTTCCTACAGCAGAACGGTGTAAACATTTTGCAGTGGCCAGCCCTCACTCCTTATTTAAACCCAATTGAACATCTTTGGGATGTAATTCAGAGGAGACTGAATAATGTCCTACCAAGGCCGAACACAGCCGATTTAATGCGCCAAGTCATTCTCAGAGTGTGGTTCCAGGTGCCAATGGCCTTCATCAATCGATTGGTGCACTCCATGCATAGACGCTGTGCTGCAGTTATTGTCGCTCGTGGTGGTCACACTAGATACTGAAGTCAAGAGTCTGAATGGACTGCAAACGTTCACGTAATGTCTTGAAATTGTGCTGAATTATTCATTGATGTGTCAAGATATTGTACACAAAAAATGTTTTTGATCCGCTTATTATGTCCATTTCTGTAATGATTTGATTACAGTGCCTATCTAATTTTGAATTCGTACTGACATTTTTTTTGCTGCTGAGTATATATGAATGAAATGTGAACATCACAAGCAGAGCCTACACTACACTATAACTGATTACAGTGATTAATAATAACAACTGTACAAATACAATTAATACAATATTAACGTTCCCATATGATCATAAGTGGAATTACAATATCAGTGGCGTAGTCTAGTGGTTAAAGCATTCACTCACCACGCCAAAGACCTGGGTTTGATTCCCCACATGGGCACAATGTGTGAAGCCCATTTCTGGTGTCCCCTGCCATGATATTGCTGGAATGTTGGTAAAAGTAGAGTAAAACTATAATCACTCACTCACTCAACTTCCCAGTTGTACTTACAGTCTGTTTGATTGATTTGAGACCGATGAATTGCTCACAAACACATAAGCAGCATAAAACCATACTCACTCACTCACCCACTCACATGAGGGATTCCTAAACAACTTACTTTTTCGGTGAATATTTTGATGTAGTAGTCCAGGATGTCCACAAGTCCGTCATACTGCGGTGAGGTGTATTGGACAGGGAGGGTCATGAACACTCGACCACACGTGTCATAGCCGTACGGTCGTCCCTGTCACAAACACAGAGCAGAGACTGATTACCCTGTTTCAGTACGTACATACAGGTTAGACGATGTTGATCTGATGTTCAATCTTTTAACTGACCCGTTCAACAATCAAACATCACAATCCAACTGATCTACCCCGTTAAAAAACCATGGCTAACATTTAAAGACCTTTAGCATCAGTAACGATGACACAACATTGGTAGTATTATGTTAAAATGAGTGCCCAGGGTGTGTGTAGTGGTCGAGGCGTCACCTCGAGAACGCTATTGAAGGTCGCTGGTTCAATCCCTCAACCTCGTCCATACCAAAGGCGTTAAAATATAGTACTTGTTGGTCCTTCCTGGCGCTTGGCATTAATGGGTACAACAAGGACTGATTTTTAGGACTTAATTCTCACTATAATGTGTCTGAGGTGGGATATTCATGCTTCACTGAATATTTTATGGTATCTCAGTGAGCTAGCACTATAAAACCAGCTTCAGTCTGGGCTAGTACAAGCAGCCGATCTGACATACACATACACAACTGACCCGCAAACATGCAATCCAACTGATCGCCGTCTTATGAGTGAAATATTCTCAAGCACGACGTTAAACCCAATTTCACCTCACCTTATGTTAAAATACATCACAGAACTCCATGTTTTGAGAACACTGTGAATTCACATTTTGTGATGCATGTGAAATGTGTTTCCTGAGCCTTTCACACAAGCAGCCTCCCCTTTGGCAAGCTGAGTCATGAAATACATGAAATGTTTTATCGAACTACTCATGCTCAGCAACTTTATGACTGTTGTAAGTGTGATTTGAATGGTTGGTTGGTTGTTTTGAAATCATGGTTGCTGTTTCTTTATTGCAGCACCCAGCAATATTCCACCTATATGGCATCAGTCTGTAAATAATCAAGTCTGGACCAAACAGTCCAGTGATCAACAACATGAGCATCAATCTACACAATCAAAATATGATAACATGTGTCAATCAAGTCACCGAGTCTGACCACCGATCCTGTTAGTCGCCTCTTATGACAAGCATGGGTTACTGAAAACCAATTCTAACCCAGATCTTCACGGGTTTGAAATCATGGAACGTTGTGCATGAAACTTATGTGATTACAGTAGTATGTATTTCATCCCACGTCAGTAACATCCGGTATGTGAGGGGTCCAGATAAGCAAGGTTCCATTGTATCTGTTCTTTGTGAACAACATGTCCTTGCAGAGCACCTACACTTTTCATCCAAGAGGGAGAGATTTAATAATTCCTCGTGAAGCAATAGTTATTAACCAAAGAGTCCCTATCTGTACAACTCACATGATGTAGGATGAGTATTCGAGCATCTTGAAGCACATCAGGGTTGATCACCTGCAAGGAAGTAACAGTGAGGTTTAATGCTGCTTTTTTTAGTAGTCCAGTAACATCACATTAACGTGAGTAGGGCCTGAGTGATATCTGAACATCTTAACGTGTAAGACTCCCATAACCCTTCTAGCACTGATAAACTCTACAACAGTCAGTAGGCCCAGGTGATATTTGAAACCCTTAACGTGTAAGACTCCCATAACCCTTCTAGCACTGATAAACTCTACAACAGTCAGTAGGCCCAGGTGATATTTGAAACCCTTAACGTGTAAGACTCCCATAACCCTTCTAGCACTGATAAACTCTACAACAGTCAGTAGGCTATTTGAAACCCTTAACGTGTAAGACTCCCATAACCCTTCTAGCACTGATAAACTCTACAACAGTCAGTAGGCCCAGGTGATATTTGAAACCCTTAACGTGTAAGACTCCCATAACCCTTCTAGCACTGATAAACTCTACAACAGTCAGTAGGCCCAGGTGATATTTGAAACCCTTAACGTGTAAGACTCCCATAACCCTTCTAGCACTGATAAACTCTACAACAGTCAGTAGGCCCAGGTGATATTTGAAACCCTTAACGTGTAAGACTCCCATAACCCTTCTAGCACTGATAAACTCTACAACAGTCAGTAGGCCCAGGTGATATTTAAAACCCTTAACGTGTAAGACTCACAATAGCCCTTCCTGGCACTGATAAACTCTACAACAGTCAGTAGGCCCAGGTGATATTTGAAACCCTTAACGTGTAAGACTCCCATAACCCTCCTAGCACTGATAAACTTTACAACAGTCAGTAGGCCCAGGTGATATTTGAAACCCCTAATGTGTAAGACTCACAATAGTCCTTCCTGGCACTGATAAACTCTACAACAGTCAGTAGGCCCAGGTGATATTTGAAACCCTTAACGTGTAAGACTCCCATAACCCTCCTAGCACTGATAAACTTTACAACAGTCAGTAGGCCCAGGTGATATTTGAAACCCTTAACGTGTAAGACTCCCATAACCCTCCTGGCACTGATAAACTCTACAACAGTCAGTAGGCCTAAGTGATATTTGAAACCCTTAACGTGTAAGACTCCCATAACCCTTCTAGCACTGATAAACTCTACAACAGTCAGTAGGCCCAGGTGATATTTGAAACCCTTAACATGTAAGACTCCAATAACCCTCCCAGCACTGATAAACTCTACAACAGTCAGTAGGCCCAGGTGATATTTGAAACCCTTAACGTGTAAGACTCCCATAACCCTCCTGGCACTGATAAACTCTACAACAGTCAGTAGGCCTAAGTGATATTTGAAACCCTTAACGTGTAAGACTCCAATAACCCTCCCAGCACTGATAAACTCTACAACAGTCTGTAGGCCTAAGTGACATTTGAACCCTCTGACATGAAAAAATTCACTGTGTATCCCTTCCTGGCACTGATGAACTCTACAACAGTCAGTAGGACCTAGGTGATATTTGAACCCTCTGACAACAGTGCTATGTACAAACTCACCGTGTAGCCCTTCCTGGCACTGATGAACTCTACAACAGTCAGCAAAGCGTTGATGGTGGCTCCACCACTCCCGACGTTAGACTTGGGATCTTCTACAGTAAGCAGGATGACGTCCTTGTCAATGTAACCCTTGGCCTGTCGGAGCTCAAGCTCTGTACACAGGAAAATATCATGGAACTCTGTTTTAGGCCCTGTTCTCAAGTGCTCAACTTGAAGTAACTGCAATATGTTCTTACACATCGGGGGCGGTGGGGTAGCCTAATGGTTAAAGCGTTGGCTCGTCACGCCGAAGACCCGGGTTCGAATCCCCACATGGGTACAATGTGTGAAGCCCATTTCTGGTGTCCCCCGTCGTGATGTTGCTGGAATATTGCTAAATGCGGCGTAAAACCAAACTCAGTCAGTCTTACACATCAATGAATATTTATAGCATAGATGCTGAGATCCTCTCTTTAAAGTGTATTCATGTTTTAGGGGGATGACCTTGGATACATAACATTTTGCTAAATAAAATATTACTTAAAAAATAATTGCATTTTTAAGACAAATCAAACTGAATTTTTTGCTACATAGATGTGAAACAAGGTTTAGTGTTCTGTTCAAGATTATTACACGCATTTAGCGCCCCAGAGAGGTTGAAAAACAGGATCAAAAAAGAAAATACAAATACAATAAAAAATAAGGTCAAACACTGATGTATCAAAATTAGAATAACAAATGTTTAGTAATCCGAGGTTTGGCACAAACAGAAACTGATGACTAAACAAGACACACAGGACCAGATTTTTTACCTTGGGGCAACTGTTAGTTCAACACATCAACATTTGATAGAAGCATGTTTAGAATGTAATCAAAATCAAATTGGTATTGTATATTACCATAGATAAGCTAACTATGGAGGACCAAAACAAGCAGTCTGTAGAAGGGGGTTGGCTAATCTACAGGTTACACTTTCGGCAAACGTTTTTTTATCGTATCGCTTAGCATGAACAAACAAGAGAAGACTTTGCAAAACTAAGAAAATCAAGAAAACAACAAAAACTGGTTTCATTTTACCTTTCTGTAGAGCCTGTGTGTGGGCCTTGTTTGCACACGTCAGGACTATCGCTGTCCATTTCACCCTCTGGGGTGGACTTGCCATTGCTTGTGAAGAAAAAAACTTGGTATTATTACCATGATGACATACAAAATACAACTTAAAATGTGATGTCATTTTTCTCCATTAACTTCTGTAGCTCGCTGATTTCATTCTTTGTGACTAAAGTTAAAATGGATTTGTTTCAGAGTATTCTGAAGATAAAACCCATCTCACTCACTCCATGAACCAGGAATCAAATTTGGCTGCTTTTCAGTGTTGCAGTCAGATAAAACCCAACTCACTCACTTACTCTCTCACTACATCAACAGGGAATTACATTTGACCTCTTTTCAGTTTTGTAGCCAGAGTTGAGTTGAGTTAGGTTTTACGTCACATTGGCATTATTCCAGCCACATAGTGATGAGATGAAGTCTGCATTCACAAACATTCTAAATACAAAGTCCAAAATGAGTTTTTCAAAACATATATATATATAACTGTCATAGCACCAAATTCAAAAAACAAAAGCAAGCTTCCCTCAGGTAGCTAACAATGAGATGCCCGCTCTCAAACAGATCTTTCAGATTTATCGCTTCATAATGTGAGTCATTTGCATTTGAAAAGTTCACCCAGTAATTTCTGTATGCTTCAAGGTGAACACTTCATTGCAAGAGATACACATAGGAGTCCCATCTCCATCTGTTTTCAGCAGATAGTCATGAGTAAACCGACTGTGGGCAATACGACATCATCAAAAAATTACTTCATGACGTCTTGACTGACAGTCCAAGTAGGTGTAACCAATTGTTGGTTTCAATTCATGAAGTTTATTTCTTCCTACTCTTTGTAGCAAGATAAAACCCAACTCACTCACTCATTCTCTCACCAAATCAACAAGGAAACACATTTGACCTCTTTTAAGTTAGGTAGCCAGATTAAACCCAACTCACCAAATCACTCATTCACTTGCACACTGACTCTCTCCATCAACCCATGAATCAAATTAGGCCAATTTCCAGTGTTGTGGCAAGATACAGCCCTATTCACTCACTCACTCACTCATTCAACATCGAATTTGATTTGGTCAAATTTAAATGTAGCTGCCAGACAATTATATCGCACTCTGGTTCCACAGACAATTAAGCTGTGAGTGCTCTGAAATACAACTGTCGGACTGCATCTCACAAACAGATATGTTTGGGGCATGGTGGGCGAGCTGTCTGAGGTGCCAGGCTAGTGATCCAGCGAGGTTGAGGTATAGGGATCAACCCACCTGTGACCGTGTGTAAAAACCTTGGAGTCAACTTTGTGTTCAGACTCTTTCAGTGTTGTCACAACCCCTAGTGTACAGTACACAACCCTGTGCACTTCAAAGTACCCACAAATCCGTTGGTATATGACCAGATGGTGGCCACATGAATACGTGCAAACACCTAGTTGCGGGTACAGCAACATGCAGTGAACTTGGACAAAGTACTGTGACTATGTGTCCAAGTCCACCCAGCTGTGAATGGGTACCTCGTTCTGATGAGAAAGCCACAATAACTCGGTGCGCCTGGTGGCTGCAAGAGGTGTATACTCCCCAGGGAGTTAAGATTGATAACATGATGTGCCGTTGAGATTGACATCCAATGATCGAGGGAAAAAATACCAGCGCCTTGAGCAAGCACTAGTTGCCTGGATATGTGCGCTATATAAATATCATTTCTAATGTTAATGTGTCACATAACAACACTTAGCATAGCTCCTGATCATCTAATTTACCAATTCCATCTACCAGTGAAGATCTGGGTTAAATCTGGTCTTCAGTAACCCATCCTTGTTGTAAGAGGCGACTAATGGGATCGGGTTGTCAGGCTCGCTGACTTGGTTTACACATGTCATCATATCGCAGTTGCGTAGAACGATGCTCATGCTGTTGATCACTGGATTGTCTGATCAAGAATCGAATTATTTACAGACCGCCGCCATATAGCTGGAATATTGCTGAGTGCAGTGTTAAACAACAATCTACGCAATTGGGAACCGATGACATGTGTCAACCAAGTCAGTGAGTCTGACCACCCGATCCCGTTAGTCGCCTCTTCGGACAAGCATGGGTTACTGAAGACCGATTTATCCTTGCAACCACAAACAAGTTCAGAATAGCGAAGACCTGCCTTAACACTGCCTTAACACTCTATAAATATCTGTCACCTGATGAACCATTTCTCATGTAAATCACTATTGATTTCTTTTATATATATATATATATATGCCAGTGTATAAAATACGCCAAAAACCCGGCCAGACATCTGGGCTGGTAACTTCAAAAAATTACCTGCCCGGAAGAGATTTGACCAGTCCTTCTTAAATACTAAATAGACAGTGCCAGTGGACACGTTATCTGAATATTTTTGTCACCTGTCCATCAGGCTGGCTAGCTGTAAAATTAGACCATCTGGTAGAAACCTAGCCCGTCTCGGGCAGTCAGACGGGCCTTATTTCATACACTGTATATCCACAGGACATCACTGATCCACAGGACATCACTGACCCACACAGCAATAGCTAAAAAAATGGGGGAATTCATCTAGGATTCTAAGAGTGCATTTGTCAGGAAAAATGAAAAACAACAACATTATATTGTTCAAAATTTGATTTGTTTTAATGTTCTTATATTAATAATATCTGGGAAAGTGGGAAATTTGTAATTCAAAGTGTGAATTTTTAATGTTCTTTGCAACAAATTTGAACAAAATTCAGCCTGTGACAAACATTTTGCAATTACATCTTACGGCTATATTTGTTGTTAATCTGGTTGAATTATGAACTATGTCACTAACTCTTCACATATACTAAAATCGGTACTTTACTGCTAATAATAATGGTTTATTCCGGGGTAAATAAGCCACCAGCCTATATTTAATACAAGCCATACAACACAATTATACAATATATATACAGCGCTGGCCAGTAACAATGATGTACAAAGGTTCCACAATAGTCACATCAAAAATGTTTTTTTAAGTCTTAACAAGACATGCTTTGCAGGGCAGTTTACAATAAATTGTAAACCAAAAGTACTGTGTTCTTTAATCTGATTGGTTGAAAAACGTGATCAAATGGTATTTGATTCCCGGAAATTCTCTGCGTATTAATATATACAAACATCGCTCACACCATTGTATTGTTACGTCATCAGCTGTGATGACATCATTCAAATCATATTGTGACGTAAAGTCCGAATGACGTCACAAATGAGCAGTTCCAGATGCTACCATGGGAGACAGCTGAAACGGCCGGCTGATGACATTTCACTGCTGTACCCGTACTCGATGTCAATGAGTGCAGACACAAAAAACGTGTGGACCTTTCGGTTTACCTTTGTGTTTACAATGTCGATAAACATCATGTGTTGGCGATTGAGGTGTTATTGAGTATTTGAAGCACGGGATTATTTCATTTGAAACCTCCGGCTCACGCCGTCGGTTCCAAATGAATTCCCATGCTTCAAATACTCAATAACACCCGGAAATTCGCCAACACATGCTGATTATCTCCTAAAGAATCATCACTTTTACAGAGCACAATGGATTTCTGTAAAGATGGAGATGAACAATAGAAATAAAATAAGGCAAAAACTTTTTCTTAGATATCTGTACTTTACTGAGAAAACGTAATCCCAAATCACAATTTACACAACACACGACGGTGTGGCCAGTACTCACAAAGGCAGAGAATGGACGAAGAAAACCCAGAATTCTGTGTCCGGACAGAAGATACAGTGTGTATACCTACAGTGGATCAAGGGTAGGCATCTGTGTCTGTTATTTCAGCCATCAGTTACGACCACACACTCCGGCACAGTGATGACTTAGCATAACATCACAGCCACACCCTAATTTGCATATCACCTGATCAGATTTTCCTCTTGTTTGTAAACAACATGCATATTCGTAAATATGAAGAGACTGGCCTAACACAAGCTTTTTGGTGGGCTCTCATAATGTTTCACATTGTTACATAAATATTCTTCTACAACTGCGACAGTAAGGTTTATGACAATACATATCTCTGTATCAAACGGGACGCATTGTTTGCTCTCCGTCAGGCTTCGATAATAGCATGTATAGCCATACAAATATGTGTACAAAGGATCACTACGCAAATTAAAATAGTGTTACACGTTTTAGGATATTTTCTCAGTGAAACAAAACCATTCTAACAATGATGTTTAATTAGATGAGTAGATTCATCAAAAATAAAGTTTAGAAATACGTACATTATATTGAATGTACTGTGTAAGATGTGGCGAATCGTCACATTTCTCTGGCCTGTGGCAGAGGTACTATGTTGGCTGGCCGCATGGATTTCTGGGTTGGAGAGTGTTATGACCAATGTAGAGAATGGACGCAGGAAAACAATTCACTGTGTCCAGAGGAACGCACTATATTATTCACTGTATCCACAACACATCTATGACATTGCTAAGTGTTTGTTTTGTTTCTTTCAGAGAAGTTACGTGCATCATTTCATGCATCAGTCCACATGATTCATTCCAGACTCCAAAGAAAGTATCATAACATACACTTCCCTACAGTGTTACTTCACAGGAGCTTCACATTATCTGCAAGGACCATTAAAAAAATAATTGGTGATCCCCAGGATACCATGTTTGTGAGTCGCAGTAAAACCCTGCCTCTGTCTATATGATCACATATGATCCAGGCCCTAAGTACAGTATTTCCTCTAATAAGCGACAGATCTCTAATAAGCACTGGTCTCAGTAAGCGCCAGGTCTCTAATAAGCGCTGGATGTGCCACATGTTTACAATGGAGATTTCAAATAAAATACCAATGGAGAATCTATACTTTTTTCCGTTCAAATTTTAAGTGCCGGGTCTCCAATAAGCGCCTGCACCTATTAAGAGCTGGGTCTCAGAGTTTGCTGAAGTAATAAGCACCCGGACACTTACTTGAGGAAATACGGTAATTATCAGAACGTACACTACACTACACTGACTGACTGACTGAGTTTGGTTTTACGCCGCTTTTAGCAATATTCCAGCAACATCATGGCGGG